GTGTAGGACTTCATTTTCATGAAGGAGTAGAGAAAATAAAAGAAAACGATAAAAATACCAAAATAGAAAACCTACAAAATGGGCGGGAAAAGTATGGCGGGAAAAACCTCGCGTACGTGTACAGTTGGGGCAAAAGTTTAAAAAAAAATTGTAATTTGTTCAAATTTTAGTTTGAAATTGCTTTCAACTGTTCTTTAGATAAATTTCTTACCCGAATCAGTTTACATTTGCCTAAAGAAGCATTAAATGCTTTGCGCAAAATACAATTTACAATCGGAACGAACTTTTGAAACACCCTGTAGTATCAATTGCATTGTAATTGTGGGTATGACATTATAGTCTCCTATTGTCTTTGCTCTACTCAGAAACAAAGGAAAACTTAGAAGTCTGCGCTCAGCCTTTGTGGTCATGTATGTTTTAATATGCATACTTAATGTTTCTTTTTTTACTCACGTAAACAACATACAAGTGTGGGTCATGAAAACTGCTTTAAAGATCGGCTCGCTAACGGCTCTAACTCTATTATTTATATCAATAGTGACATTTTTTGTGCTGAAAATCCGTCGTATCGATATCAAGTATGGTCTGAAAGAAGATTCACGGCCATTTGTTTTCCTTACTCAAACAGAAGAGTGTCTTCGGCCGCAACTGATGCAAAATATGGGATTAGACAATAGCCAAAAATGTCGATGCGACGTGATTGTGTTGAGTTATCACAAGGCTTGTCAGTCGGAATGGAATCCGCCTCACATAACTTACTTATTTGATAAAGACAGTAGTTGGAGAACTGGACGAAATTTGCTGTACATCCACGCAACAATGAAAGGGAAACCACGTTACACTTACTATATAATAACAGATGATGACGTTTTCTTAAAGTTTAACCAAGCGGCCTCGGAAGAAATGAAACAACTCACTCCATTGCAAGTGTTTCAAAACTGGCTTCTGGAATACGAACCAGCTGTTGGCGTTGTCGATTATTCAGGAGCTAATGAAGCACAAAATGTGCTAAAAAATTGTGGAATTTATATAAACAACAATTCTACTACCAATCCAACTGTATACTTCGATCCTCTCTTTAACGCATTTCATGCAAACGCTGTTCACCATATATTTCCACTGCTTAATCAACGAGAAAACGTCTCTTGGTGGTATACACTAAGGCATGTTATTTCAAATGTGGAATTGAAATTCCGTGGACAAGCGCTGATATTTTTTCCCATATCAGTGGAGAACAGTTTGCATCGCAATTATCCGCACACGCTAGAAAACGCTCAAGAGGCTTGGAGGGACTATATAGAAAACGTTCGAATGCAAGCACCAGGAAATTACGCCAATCATAGTTTATTTAAGGAGTATAAAAAAGATCCAATCCATTACGTTGAAACGTCCCGGACGTACTGCATGAAAGTAACTCGTCATCGACCAATTATTCCATTTGCACATTTTGAGCTGGCAAATGACACTACATAAATATTTACACTTTGAAACCATTTATTATCGACTCTTAGATTGGACTACGAGCACGACGAGACCGACGAAATAGAGTACAAGGAATACGAGTTTATATTATCCGATATGATTACCAATGTCACCGAATAACAAATGCAAATCGAATTACGGAGATTAAAGAAAAGCAATTAAGATAGCAGTAAAGATAGGAAGAAATGGGCTGCCTTCAAACAATGCCCCTCAGAAAAATAATTTGTTATACAGTTAATTAAAGTGCAAGTGACAAACGGGCAGATGGGGGATGGAGGACCAAAAGCTAGGCAGGCAGCCCTCTCTTCTCTTAATTGTTAATATATAAACTATAGTATTTTTGTGGACTTTGTCTTTCTTTTTATGTTTATTTCACTTTTTTCCCTTCTGTAAACGATAACAGTTACCTGTTTCAATGTAAGGTAAAATTTAGTAAACTATAATTAGAATTTATCGTAATGAATTGTAAATGTAATGTATTGTAACTGTTTGTGTGTCCGAAAAAAAAAAAGATAGCAGTATATGGTTTAAAATTATCATAAATGAATTCGCGTTTCGTGAAACCACTGAATAGAACAATTGTTTGTCAAGAACTAACATCTTGTGCACTGAAGCAAAAAATAGTTTTATATAGAAGGGCGAAGCGCCGTGAGGTTTTGAAGGTGTACGTGCGAAGCCTCCTCCACAAAATTTTTCAAATTTAGGGGCTCAGAAGTACCATTTCATGTGTTTTCCACAGGACATTTTCAGAAATACGAAGAAAAATGCAATAGTTAGTAGTTTATTTTACATCTCTAGTGTTATCGATAAGGTATGTACAGTGTTTACGGAAAAAAGGGTAAAACAGGACAAAAAAAGAAAGTAAAACAGTGACGCGATCAAGGAGGTTACAAGCAAAGGGCGCCGGAGACTTCTACCCTTCAGACAAGTAAGAGACACCACTATAATGCAGAAGATTTATCAATCATCTCGATTAATGGTAAAATGCTTTCAGGAAATAAAAAATATATAATTTTTCAGCTTATGTACGCACGGGCGTATGTGCGTATATGGATGCTATGCTAATGATATATTAGGGCCATTTATACGAGGAAAAATAAGACGCGTCTTACATAAGACGCGTCTTAAATAAGACGCGAACTATACCATTTATACGAGCATGTCTTATCTAATAAGACGCGTCTTAGCTAAGCCGCGTCTTATTTTAGACGAAAAGTGCCGTTTATACGGAAAGTTCGCGTCTTATATAAGACGCGTCTTATGTAAGACGCGTCTTATTTTTCCTCGTATAAATGGCCCTACTGTATTAGTTTTCGATGAATAGCTATACACACTTGATGAGAAAACCGCACATCGGGCCGCTAAATTCTGTGACTATTGGAGAGGATCGGATCGAGTGGGTGAAACACTCTCGTCTTTTGAGCGTTACTATCGATGACAGGTTTTCCTGGTCACATCACCTTACAGATGTTAAAAAGAATTTCGTAAACAAACTGAACCTTCTGAAAAGGAGTTCGTTCTTGAGCAGAAACGCCCTATTGGACTTGTACTTCAAGATAATGTTACCATCAGTTCTATATAGACTAGTCGTTCGGGGCGGCTGCCCTAATGCGGACCTTCTACATTCTCAGGAAGTACTTCACCGTAGGGCAGCAAGAAGAATATACAAATTGCCCCGAGATATGCCTACTGAGGAAGTTTACCGACGTTCGAACTGGAATACTTTAACCCTCTATTATAAACTTCGATTAAGTAAGCTACTCCATAGCGTGTTTATAGGTGAAGGATCTACGGCTCTTTCATACTTGACAAATAAACCCTGCACTGCATACAACCTCAGAAGGAGTAATAACACAATCGTCCCGCGTTTTAACTCGCAGTTTCTTAAAAACTCTACTAGTTATGGAAACGCTATTCTTTGGAACGCTGTCTCGAGTCATTTTACCGACCAGTTTACTGTTTTTTATCGCAAAGTGAAGAGGGACTCTTATATTATAAGGAACTTGATTTTAGCGCACAGTCGGTCCAGTCGCTGCGCCCAGGCACTACCAATATTTTAAATGTTTTTAACTATTTTATGATTTAAATGCTGTAGTCGATTTACGTAGAGGTAACTAATGTGAATTCATTTTAACCTTGTATTTTTTTGGTTAGAATCTTACTGTATATTTTTAGAGTTTTAATTGTCGTTGTATTTTGTAAGTAATGTTATTCTTGGGGAAAGGGATTATTTAATCATTTCTACATGATGTAACACGTCTTGAAATGTCTCCAAGAACAAAGTGCACTGCAGTTGTGCGGTAAATTCCTAGGATCGTTAAGATTTTCTCGATGTTTAGCAGACAAAAAGACTTCAAGATTTCCATGTGCAATTTTATTTATGTTCAAAACGCTCCCTCACTCGGATACGGCTCAAGTTAGGTTCTTCGCAGTGTTTTAGCTATGTCACGCAAATTTGCAACTTCAAAAAATGCAATAATCTTTGCAGAAATCTGAGAGCGTGCGTAAGAGCATGTGTGTGCCAAAGAGAGGGGTGGGGTGAGTCCAATCGAAAACGAGTTAGTGCAGCGTAAAAATAGTGTAAATTGGACTTTCAAACTTCCCCGAGTTTGAAGTGGGTTTCTCTTGAAACCTGGTAATTTTACTAGATTGAACATCATATATCACTCTGAAAAGATGTTTCCCTGTTTTCATCGAGAACAATGGTAGTTAAACTTTTGCGTGACTTTGGTAAAAAGGCCATTGCACGCACCCAAGCCCTGCCTTGCTAATTCCCACTGGGGCCTAGGCTTCCGATTTATCTCATATCTCCCGATCACTTCCGCTAAACAACGTAACATCAATCGGAGTTGGAAAGGTTATATCCATCGAAGGTATGCAGCTCTAATATCCTTGGAACAACCAGGTTTGACCGTTAGTTTGTGATAGGAGTTTTGCCGGGGTGTCTGGGAGAAACAGGGCGCTGAATTTTACACCAAAAGCTTGTTGTTTGCAAACGAATTCGCGAGCGATTTGCAAGCAGTTGCAACTTCTCGCGTACAAACTGCCGATTGTATCCCAGTCGTGTTTTTGTTTTTACTCGCAGCGCAGCAGGCTTAGGATGTCACGATTTCGTAGAACTTGAGTTTTGTCACCCGTGCTTGCATAAACAAAGTATAATCGCCACATTAGGTATCACTCAATGGTGTGCGTGATCTTATCATGGTGTCAAAGCTTTTGCAAATTCCTTGTTCGGCCCACCCTGACAAACAATTTGGGTACGCCCATAGGAGATGCAATGGCGTTTAGAGGTTCTTTATAACCTCACTTTAGCCTTCCCCTTAAGTGTTTCATTGACAGTTATTAATTGAAGGGTAATTGTGTAGTTCTTAGCTAAGCACCACCTTGTTTGCTCTTAGCAACATACGTCTGCATACAGACGGGGGAGTGCTTTGCATGTATGATAATTTTTAGTTGTTATTTGTAATTCTGCCTGTCCCTATACCCCCACGCACCCTGCAGTTCACCCCCCAAATAAGATATAAAAAGTGCAGGAAAGTCAAAACTTTTTTTTACACATTTTTTGATGGAAAGGTGAGAAGAATATTATTCAAACACAGGCTAGACTACCCTAATATTCCATGTATGGGCATTTCTAAAACTGCCTTACAATAAAAGTAATTTTTACTGATTTCGAGGGGTGATTTATTATAATTCATTTGGCATAAGAGGGGAGAAGGCTAATGGTGTTGTTGAAATCAGCTAAGGTTGCACTCCCCCTTGTAAATTTGCATACTATGCTCTCCAGTGTTCATGTGTCTTTTAAAGTTTGTCCCCCAATTACAACTCAATAATAATGCATTTTATATCCCTTTCACAGGGTTGAACATGGCGCAATCTGAAAATGCAATCGACATGATCATTGTACTTGGCTCACATACAAGTGGAGAGGGGTCTCCCAGTGATATGATGAAATCCCGAGTAGATCAGGCAGCTCAGATATATACATCATTAAAAGAACAAAACATTGAATGCCGTGTTATTATGACTGGGTATCAACGACCAGAACAGGTGAGTTACAGCCGTAACTCATGGTGCACTTTCCATGATGAAGTCGTGTAACATTAGGGAGGCCATGCCGGGGGGGGGGGGACCCATGTCGCCCGTCTGAATTTTAAAATGTCTTGTGTCGGTGTTTATAAAATATTAATGCTTGTTGCTTATTGTTGACTTTGCTGTCACTGTCGCAATTCGGCCGAGGGAGGTTGTCTCTTGTCGCGATTTCCTTTTACGCGCTGTCGCTACTTTTTGGGCCATATGTTGCTTGTCAGAATTTACCCTGGCAGGGCCTCATTAGGGTTATAGAATTGTTCCCTGAGAAATGTGGGTCTCAGAAAATTTAGGCCCGATCTTGAAATCTTGGAGGCATTTACGATGGGTCTCATAGTCTCATTTTTGGGTGATTTTGTGTCTCAAGAGGCTCAAATGTTTTTAAGTCTCGGTCTCGGCCTTGCATTTACCATTCTTTATCCCCAACATTGGAGGCTGGTTTATGTAATTATTATGGTGCAAAAGATATACAAAAAACCTGAATTAAATACAGAGCAATGCAATCATGAGAGCCCAAATTTCATGCCATTGCTGTAGCTAATTAAAAACATGTCACCTCATGCTTAATGCAAGTGTAAAGTTTTTGTTGCTGTGCTTCATTTGAAATTTTTTTAATCTTGGGGATTAGTACTGTAAACTGCTGCTGACAATAGTATTACCCCTGGGCTTATGCATTTTTGTAAGGGGTTAAGAACGGATTATAAACAGAGGGGCTTATATCAGAGGGGGTTTTTTAATAACCCGAACAGAAAATGTGCTACAAAACAAGCTATAGTACTGCTGATCAAAGTACCTTTTGCATTCACTTTTTTAACACTTTAAACCCTCAAGATCAAAGTTTGAATTCTCATTTGTTGCCCTATTCATTTCCTACAGAAGTAGCGGGGAGAAGTTGATAAAATATCAAGAAAATTCATCTTGTGTGATCATGTCTGTAATTCTCACGACCACTCTGTTTTACAAAGCATTGACATTACAAGGAGAAATTTGATACTGATCACTCTTAGGGCTTAAAGGGTTAAGCTTCAAAACGTTGTAATAAATCAAGTTCATTTCAATACATTTAGAGGGGGTACTGAGGGTGGGGGGCTTATTGTCAGACATATTTTTTTGCATACAGGTTGATGCCATAGATGCAGGGCCTATAACTGGGGGGTTTTGGAGGGGCTTATAAGCGGCAGTTATGGTCATGTTAGCTTTAATTGCACCACTTCTTATTTTTCAAATGTTCTGCTAATCTAACATCAATCAACAGACTGTAACAGAGGCCAGTGCAATGGAAACATATGCAACTGAAAACAGTTTAATAGATAAAGAACACATTATCAAAGAGGAGCAGGCAACCACCACTGCAGAAAATGCCTATTACAGTCGCATCATTGTAGATGACCATGATGCAGTAAATGCTCATGTTGTAACATCCCAGTTTCATATGGAGCGGGCAAAAAATATTTTTGAGAAGGTGAGTACCCGTATTTATTACAATAAGGGCCCTTGATATAGTGCCCATTGTAAAAGCAGAAAAAGTTAATAAGTGCTCAGCCTCGAATAAGCTCCTACCCCCTCCCCCACCCACTCAAACTCAAATTAGCGCCCACCACCACCCCACTCCCCTTCCCCCTCCCAGCCAAAAAAAATTAAGTGCGTGAGAGTAGAGTTGACGTTACGACATCGGACATAGAGGAAGCAGTGCCAGAGAACTCACTTGACTTGAGTGACAGTGAGGTTGAAATAGACCTTTTTAATGATACGGCAGCCATTTTGAATTTATTAGATTTAAGAAATATTATGGGATGCCCAGGGGGCACTTGCTCAGTATTTATGCCCACTTTTCGCGCAAAGAGAAAATTTCACTTTATATTTCGCAGTAAAAAGATGATCATTATTTTATCCAAAAACGGCACAACGATCTTTTTTTCCCATTACAATCTTTTCCTAGGAAAACTTAAAGAAAAATTGGCCCGTAAAGGGCTCGTAAATACTGGGCGAGTATATCAGGTCGTGCTCATGCCCCCTGGGTAATTCAATAGGATATTAGTACTAACACGAGACTTCGCCAAGGCGGACTTTTCTTCAGAGTATTTTACAGAAACCTTGCTTTGTTATATCCTCGTGTTTTGTTATTACCGTTTTTCCTTTTGTTGCCAAATAAACATACTAAACTTGCTGAAATGGTGAAACTTTAATAAGCGCCCACCTTCAATAAGCGCACACTCTCAAGGTCCAAAAACTGAATATTAAACGCCTAGGGCAGTTAATCGAGTAAATACGGTACAAGACTTGCAGTGACCACTTTTTAGTCCCCACAGCTCTACAAAGAAAAATTTGGAAAGTTATAAATTTTCTTTGTTGTGTCCTGTGTCCTGTCCCAACCTTCCATCTTTGCAGTTTGTTATTTTACAAAACGCGAAATTTTAAGTGAATCAATAATTTACGTATTGTTGCAATATTTGCTTCAAAAATACTGATTTTGTTAGAACTAGTAATATAAGTGCACTTAGTTTAATGCTGTTAATTTGATTTTATGCCCTGCCAACTTATCAAACAATAATATTATTTCTTTCATCGTTTACATTACACAGTTGTACTCGCCGCAGGTTTATAATGTCAAATTTTATGACTGCACCCATGAAATGGATGATGATGAAAAGAAAAAGAGAGAAAGCAGAGAAGAAAAATACTTCCCTTTGATTGATGATCACATCAAAATGATCATGCCAAAACTCACACTCCCTGATGGCAAGATGATAGAAATTCTTCAGTCATCCCTGATTCCAACAGACATATTTACTCATGGCTTTACAATGCGACATGGTGGTGTTTCAACTTACAAGACCTTGTCGTCTCTAAACTTGGTGCATAGTGACAAAAGGAGAGATCTGTCCGTGAATGTCCAAGAAAATCGCCGTAGGCTGGCCCTCACATGTCGCTTTGCCCCTGATAAATTCCGTGTAGCTAAGTGTGTTCATGAAGCTAATGTGTGGGTGGTTGGTGATCAGGAACCAGACAGCTATGATGCCCTTGTTACAGATAACAGTCATGTGACTATTGCCGCACCGGGTGCTGACTGTGTACCAGTTTTGTTTTGTGATCCAATAAAAAAGGTATGTAAGACTAACTTAAGTTGTTTTGGTGTTGTTTGTTTGTATTTTAATTTATTGCTAATTTAATGGATACCAAAACTGATGAGCCACTTTATTGCCGTTAGGTTTGTGCTGCAGCTCATTCAGGATGGCGTGGCACTCTTGAAATGATAAGTGCAGCTGTAATTGAGGTGATGTTAACGAGATTTGAGTGCAAAGTAAAGAACATCCGAGTTGCTCTTGGACCCTCAATTGGCCCTTGCTGCTTTGAGGTTGGTGAGGATGTTGCTGAAAAGTTTTCCAAGGCATTTGGTGAGAAGGTTGCGGTAAAAAGAGAGGGACAGCCCCGCCCTTTTGTTGATCTGCGTCTTTCAATCAGACTTCAGCTGGAGAACAAAGGAGTAATGTCAAAAAATATTGATGATGGAACAGGGTGAGAAAAATTATGAGTTTTTCTTTTTGCAAGGAAAACAACCTAATTTTAGCAGGGCTTCCCTGACACTAAAAGCTGACAGAGCTGGGGGCCAGGGATTTGCCCCGGCTACAACAAACATGACCCCAAGCTACTTAAAAAAAAAAAAAAAGAAAAGCCCTATAGCTGGTCAATTCCCCACCTACCAATTGCGTGTACCTGGCACCTCCGTGGTAGTTAAGAAAAGTAAGAAATTTTGTCATATGCCATCATTATGCAATATAATCTCAAGAAGCAGCCAGAAGTGGCTCTCAGCTATCATCTTATGTGACCCTTGAATTTCTTCATCCTTGTAAAGGGTACCACAAAGCTATCAGAACAAGTTTTTAACCCTTAAGTTAAAGTTGCAATAGTGACCTGCATCAGTTTTCTCCTAACAATATCCATACACTGTCAAGAGATAGGTTATGAGAATAAATAAAATGATCATCAAAAAGAAAATGCCTTGATCTTTTATCAAATTCTCTTAACTAATTCTGTAAGGAAATGTATACAGATCAGTTGTGGAGAAATTGCGCCTGGTACCTGGGCTTAAAGGGTTAAAGGAAGCAACAGATGAATCCAATCATAAAATCCTTTAACCAATAAATAATTATCGCAGGTATGATTCCAATGGCCAATGAAATATGTTTATGAGAGCTTTGTGGTTCTATTTATAAAAGATTCAGCATGCAACCATCCTTTTGGGGGGTGGGGGCAGGCACCCAGGTGGGGAGGCTCCGCCCGAAAGGGGTACCGTTTTCAGTTTTCAGGTATATAGGGTAGAGAAATCTGTCATTTGAGCGTTAAAAAGGCTCGAAAGGGCTAACAGATGCATTTTATGGGTTGTGAAAAAGTAAAAAAGAAAAACGTTTTGGACGTGTGGTTTATTCATTAAAGATAGTGCATCAACAGAAGTTTAAAGGGATACAAAGTTCTAGACTAGGTAAGTGCAAGGGGTACCATTTGTCAATAGAAGGTATATGAAAGGGGCACCTATTCTGTCAAAAATGTTATATAGAAGGTTAAGGGATTGGACCTCAGGGTGTAGCCTCCCTGTATAATACTTTGTTGAATACCCCCAGGGGGGGCATCTGTAACCAAATCACACATAGAGCTGTTTACCTGCTTCTCAGCCCCATGTGATTACATTACTTGAGGTGACTATTTCAACTGCTTTTTTTTACAGTGTCACAGACGAAAAAGCAAACTCCCAACACCCAACACAGTGCACCAAGTGTGACCCAGAGCAAAGGTTCTTCTCATATCGACGAGATGGTCCACAGTTTGGAACACAAGTAGGATTTATCCGTCTCAAAGATTTGGAACATAATGCAAATTGTAGCATTTTATGAATGAAATCATTTGCCGCAAGAGAAAAGGCCTTCTACTGCAGCTATATCTTTGGAAGACTCAATATTTTTTCTAGTTGAAATATACTTTTGTAACTGTTTAATCATGCAAGGTGTAACTCGAAACAGGGTTCTCTCAGTTTTTACAAATGTAACTTCATGGGTTGCTTTCAAACCACAAGTTATTATTATTATTATTCTTTGTTTGGATCCTCTAAGCCCAGGGAGTTGAATATTTATACCCTGAAAGGAGCCTATTGCTCTGCAAAGATGAGTTGGCTCAGTAAAAATTAAAAAGTAAGGGTTTATGCATCATTATTGACAGAAATAACAATTTTGTCTAGAGACGTTAATTCCTCCAACAAGCTCTATTTTGACTTGTTATCGTAAGTAAACCTCTCAGTTGATTTATTTTCAAAATAGACTATATGAAGCAATAAGCATTCCCTTGTTAACACCTTCCCCTTAAGACAAACTGCAATCTCATCCCCATGTTCTCTCTTCCTCCTGTCCAGAGTTTCTGAGAGAGACCCTGCATGGTTGGAGCTGGTCGCATGGCTTGATGACAAAACAAAACCCTGGGAGAGGTCCCTTTCTCCAAAACCTTTGTTCCTTCTTTTTTTGTCCCTGTCCAAATAGGGGTGGTTCAATCTATCTCGCTTTTAAAGTAGTCTTCATTTCACTATAATCACAAACCAAAGTGACAGGAACTCAACATGATCTGAATGAACTGAGACAAGCCCCCATGATGAAAGTGCCGGAAAATGAAAACAGGGAAAACTTTCACACTCAACCACCCGAGTAAATCACCTGTTCCTCCAGTCCTCCTCCTTGTCATCATCTCCCAAATTCATAAAGTCATGTTGGAACCAGTTCGGACCAGCGTCCCTATCTCCCCCAAAAGTGTGTGGGAAGAAGAAAGAACCTGGGGATCAAGTTGGTGAAGTAGTCAAATCCAATGTTTTGCATCAAACCCCTTTATAAATGAATGCAACTAATGTAGGTAACTAGCCAGATAGCTCGAGGCTAGAAAAAATAAATCGAGCCAGATAAAAAAGTTAGTAGTTTGGTCTGCTATGCAAGTATTGTCAGATTTTTTGTTAACTGTGACTTATTTTTTTAAAAAATAATATTATTCACTTCAAATTTAATTTGCCTAAATTTTATACGTTTTGTAAATGTTAGTAAACAGAAATGCAAAATGTTGTCATGAATGTTGTCCCTCAGGTATGTATATGGTTTGGTAAAAAATATGAAAACTGTCAACTTAAGCCTCCCAATAGGTTTCACCTGTTTTTCATATGTATGCTCCTGTTCTTGTTCTCTCAAACTTGTCATCATTGATCTCTTCATCTGTTATGTTTTGTTCACCAAGTAGCATAATTATACTGAAGAACTGTGTTTTGCATTTGTCTTTAGTTTTAAAATTCTCAACTTTGAGACCACAATGACATTAAAAAGACAACTTTAATCAATTCAAATACTAACAATTTTTCAAACCTCTTCTGACTAATAATATTATATTTACAGAATAATCTTCCCTCAAACAGCAACAAAGATAAATTCTGTATCTGCCTCTTAAAGACACTATAAATTGCACTAAATGAAAACTGGAAAAAAACAAGGTGTTTGTTTGACTTGCTGTCACACCTCAACCCTCTAACCCCACAGAGTGACCAGATTGGATACTGCTTAATCAAACTATTTTTCACGAGAACCTAAGAAATGATAGTCAAAAGGTTTTGATTGTGAAACACATTTCCTCATTAAGTTCCAAAACAGTTTGAGAATTAGTGTGGAGAATAAGCTGGTGTCAGAGAGTTGAGAGCTCATGCTGCCTATAACTGTTTTTCCAAGGTTTCAGCAGTCCTACGTTGGAACAGTTGATGATCAGTTAGTGGGACACTCTATCATTGCTGAAGAGGTCACAGTCATTTTTTGAGATGGGAAAAAAGGTTGCTATAGTAACACAACTCATAGACACACCTTTTTAGCTTAGCTCTACAGCCTTACAATTTTAAAAACGAGTCACAAGTCTATTGCCCCTATTTGCAAAAACCAAACTGTGCTAAGCAAGTTAAAATACACCCTTTTGTAGAGTTCAAAGACATCTGCGTGACAATATTCAGAGCCCCTTTAAATTTCAAAATTGTAGTCAGGGTGTAAAGTCGCTCTTAAACTGCTGATCTGCACATGCCTTAAACACAGCTTGAAATTCACAGAGGCATGGGAGCAATTTGGTACTTGGTCTTGCCTGTTAAAATCTGATATTTATATCACAACATAATTATTTACTGGACATAATGCCACAGATGCAACAGTATCAAAGGAATAGGAGTACTGGTATTCATCTCTTAAAGTACAATGACTGTTGCCAACTTCTTTCCTTAACTTTTCCACTTCCACGAGCACCCAAATTTCAGTTTGTGAAAGCTATTAATTTTGTGGTTGCAATGTTCATGTTTAGGGTCCATGTTTTCAAGGTCTTTAATTTAGCACAGTAAGTAATAAACCTCCAAAGCTCAGAGACCTCAAGCTTGTATGTTTTGTTTTCTTAATGGCGGTAATTTTTACAATAAAGTTAACACTTCTTTCAGATTCTGTCTTATTCACATGCAGATGAATGTGCAAGAAGATGTGGGGCAAACTCCCTTGAGCACATCATAGGACCTACACTAGAATTATAAAACATACCAGCTAAAGAGATCTATTGGGCTAGACTATACACTAACATTCATTAGATTTGATTTTAATCAGGGCTTCATGCCAAAAGACTAGGACTTTTGTGAAACAAGACTTAAGGAGCTAAACATTTTTAAATGCGAGAGACCCAGAAAAATCCTGGTGCCATATTGATGAAGATTATTTTCCAGTTTTCAACCATAATGAATAATCTCTTCTACTTTTAATCTGTGTTAATCAAAAAACTGAATGGAAACATTACCCAACTACACCCAGCTACTAACAATCCAATGTTGATTACTCTTGCAAATTATGTGTTATACCAACAAAGCTAATTACACATGTAAAGTTTTACTCAATTGACCACAGGTTTACTATAATTATATCCACAAGTTAACAGACAATATATATAATCTTTTATAACATCCGAACTGGTGAGTACAAATAATATTCCTCTTCCTGTTTATATTGGAGTTTTAGGGGTATCAAGGGTTGTAGGATAAGACAATCCAGTAAACTTTGCGGCCAAAATGATGTGTCTGGCCAATCTGATTTGACAATGAAAGCAGCTACTTGCGACTTGTCTGATCCCAAACTGCACCAAATAATTTGTCTTGATTTTGCTCAAATGCTTATGAGGAGTATCTCAATCTCCTGGTTTACTTCAACTTCCTAAGGACCATGCCTGCTTCGAACTTTTTAGGGGGTTAAGCAACTACAACAATGATGGCAACCAAAACATCACTTAAAAGTGAATTTTTGCCATTTCATATTTAATCACTATTGTTCCATAAAATAATTTCAATTTGTCAAAAAGGTTGGTAAATTTTGCTAGAGTCGAATTCTGATGGTTGGTTTTAGGTTCAGAAGAAGAAAAAGACACCCATAGGCATGCGTTTACATCATCAATAAAATGGGAAATTAAGAAGTTTCATGTTGTGCACATGAGTGCAGTTGCAGCAAAGAATTGCACCAAAAATGTTCTGCATGTGCAGAGTTCATATGTTGTTCAATCCACTTTTGTGACATTCTTGTTACAGTTGTAGTTGCTTAAGCTCCCAGAAACCCTTAACTAGGTAATTACTGCTCTTAGCTGACAACAGACCCTTTAAGACAAGAAGAAGAAGATAAGAACTCTTTTGTATGTCAGGTAATTAGCCAACACCCTTGTCTTTAATTTTAAAATTATGAATGCTTAATGTAGCAAACAGAAAAGAGATGTCACTTAACAATTAAACTATGCCCTACTTGTAGCAGATGATGCATGGAAGCAGAAGACATTGGGTTTCATTCAACAGTTGTAAAGTCTCATTCAACGTCAAGGCACATCACTTCCTGTAGCAGCCCCTCAAACCATTTGTTTCACTTTGCTCCTAATAAAATAAAAAATACTCCAACTAATTAATTTCATTATTTTTAAAATGAAAAGTAAACAAATAACTGCGCAAGCATGTCTAAAACATTTTTAAAAAATACTTTCATAATTACAGCAAATTAAAAAATAATAATAATGTCAAAGATGGGGTGGGGTCCTTTAAACAGGGTTCGCCAGTAGCTCCAGCAGCCAGCAAAAATCACCACATCGTGGCCAAGGAAGCACCAGGTAATTGCTCAAAACAAATGTACTGTAGGTAAATGAAGGTACGACCTCCATGGCAAAAATTCTTTAACTGGTCACTCAATATGCACAGAAATGCACTTTTCAGAGCACCTAGAGTAAACATTTCCCCAGGGGTAGGGGGGCAACTCCCAGGCATACCTACACTGTACACCATGTGCAGCTAAGCTTCATGATGGGCTTACCTCTCCTTTAATGGTAAGCTATTGTTGCCTGCTTTAATATTTTCTCTCTCTACTCGACATTTTCTGTAGAACCCCGCTGTTTAAATGGTCGACACTAAGCAGAGGTCTTGCATCCAATAAACCACCACTGTAGGGGCATAGCTAGGAATTTTCTAGGAGCTACACAACTCAAACCTACCCCTTCTCTTAATAGCACTGTCTTCCACGGTTTACTTTACCACTTCTGTCAAGTTCCTGAAAACCCCATAAAAATTGTCTTGAATTCCACAGTAATAAATTGCTAATAAGCTAGACCATACTCACTTGATGGCATTCCTTGTTATTCATGATTCATGATACCATTCACAGTTATAGCAGCACCAGAGCAGCTGACTTCAGGTTTGTTTCCTTCTGCTTTTTCAAGCTCTTTATCCAGTTTCTCCAAGGCCTCGTCAGACAACACACTGTCATCAACATCAACACACAGTTCAGCTTCAGACCCCAATTTAGCAGCTGGTTTTTCTTCATTTGCAGTGGTGGTGGTGTTTCGTGCACCTATGAAGAAATAATGTTCTAGATCAAAACTAGAAAGTTGTTTGACCTTTCCGGTGCTTCAGATACAGGTAGTTACAAATAATATTCCTATAAAATAAGCAATTAAGTTTTTAGTTTCTCATTGAACAGGGTTGTCTTGATGACAGCTGGCCAGTTCCAGTTACTATAAAGCTGTAAGGGGAATGGGTGAAAAAAGTGGGGGAAAGCTGAGGAGTAGGGAGGGGAATAACAGTCATTTGTTCCTTTATCCCCCAATCACCCCCACCCTCCCACCACTAGTATTTGTGATGGAACTAAACAGGCCCCAGTTGTAATTATTAATACACATTGCTCTTGTCTGAGCTCAAGATGGCAGCTTGTTATATTCCTCCTTCATTGATGATTTCTTCTGACAACTGGCAGAACAGCTACAGCACTTAACTCACCGCTGCAATCACATTACTATCACAATACTATTGTGATTGTCGGAATGGCCTCAACAGTTACCTCTATAGCTATAAGAGTGACAAAATTTGAAAACTGCACAAGTCAAGCCAATGATCTAACAGCACAGGAAGTAATAATTATTGATAGTGCAGTACAACAAAATAAAATATGGAAGTTGTGACATTTCCTCCACTAAAGCACCCAAACATTTTTCAAATGTTCTTTGAAAAAAGTAACCCTACCTTCTTCTTTTCCTAACTGTTCCCTTTGTGGCTTATCATCATCCCCACAAACTTCACTCAAGATTTCATCAAGGAAGACCCTAGCAGTTTCTTCCTTGACTGAAGTTTGTTTGTTGGTCTCTTGCAGGTTTGGTTGTTGTGGCTGCAGAAAGAATATATTTGTCCAAGTTACCAAAATAGAACTCTTCATGCACATTTTTTTAAATAATTATTTTCTATCTACTTGAGAAGAAAGAGAGAGAAATTTACTTTGAACTGTTGTTTGAAAAGATGAAAAATAAAATCATTAAATGCCATTAAATGTACTTGTTTCTTCTTTTCTTTTTTGTCATCGAACACTTTCCCTTAAGCTGGGTTCAAACATTGCATTTTGGGGAAAAACAGTCAAAAGATTTTCCTCCATCACTATAGCAATTAAATTTGGCCCAGGTGAAATGCAATGTTTGAACCATCTTAACTCATCTGAATTTTTAAGCGTAATTCAACATATATCAATGTTCGTGAAGGCTATTGTCAGTATGTAGTCACATATTGTTTGTTTTGGAGTGTGGTGCAGTTTTTTCAGTAGAAAGGTAAAAAAATTTATTGGGGTTTTGAAAATCCGAGCTTCATATTTGGCATCACTACATTAACTGCCTGTATCAAAATGGTTTATTTTTATGTTAATGCCTGCTAAAATGGGTCTGGACTTTCTTCTATGAACAAGTTCCAAAAAAAACATGGTCCTTTAGGTTGTGTTGTGATCAAAAGTTAATCATAATTCATCAATAAATTGAAAGTAGTTTGGAGTGATATTAAAGAACTACAAAGTGGAGACTGCATAACATTTTGGGGAAAAAGTGCAAAATTTTTGAAAGGATGGCACTGCATTACCATTTAACAAAGTATGGTGGTGAGAAACTGTAGGAATTCATAACAGTCCCTCAAAATATGCAAGTGACAAATAACAAAAGTGTAAAAGTAGTTTGGTGGGAAATTGCAGGGTTGCACGAATGTGCCAGCATAACAGTTGAGTAATTTAGTGAGAAATTGCAGGATTGCAAGATCAGGGCTCCATATTACAGTTCATCAAAGTAGTTTGGTGAGACATTGTAGGGTTGCAAGGATGTGACTGCCCCACAGTTCATCAGAGGTTTAGTGAGAAATTGCAAGATTGAAAGAATATGACTGCATTACAGTTTATCAAGGTAGAAATTAGTGAGAAATTGCACGATTGACTGATTGACAGTTCATCAAAATAGTTTGGTAATGAATTACAGGATTGAAAGAATTGGATGGCAATACAGTATATCAAAAAATGTTCAGTTAGAAATAGCAGGATTGCTAGGATGTGACTGTACTACAGTTCACTCATTAACAGTAGTTTGATAAATAAGTGCAAGCCGCAAGATGGGACTGCATAACGGTCCATCCAAAAAAGCTGCCGAGAGAAGATTGAAAGAATTGGACTGCATCACAGTTCATCAAAACAGATGATGAGAAATTGCAGGATTGCAAGAATGGGATGGCATGACAGTTAATGAAAGTAGCCTAGTGAGAAATTGCAGGATTGTGAGGGTGTCAGTGCACTAAAACTCATTTCAGTAGTTTGGTGAATATTAAGTACTTGATTGCATTAGATGGGACTGCATTACAGTTGATCAAAGTAGTTGATAAATTACAGGATTGAAAGAATCAGACTTATCAACAGTTCATCAAAGTAGTTGAATATGAAAATTACAGGATTACAAGAATGGGATGGCATTACACTTTATCAAAGTAGAAATAGTGAGAAATTGCAGTTTTGCAAGGATGCGACTGCACCAAATTAAGTTCATCAGAGGTTGAATGAGAGATTGCAGGATTGAAAGAGGACTGCATAATATGGTGGGAAATTGCAGGATTGTAAGAATGTGATTGCATAACAGTTCCTTGACGTAGTTTGGTGATAAATTACAGGACTAGAAGAACTGGATAGGATTACAGTTCATTAAATTTGTTCAATGAGACATTGCAGGATGGCAGGAATGGGGTGACATGACAGTACATCCAAGAAGTCTGATGATAAATTACAGGATTAAGAGAATCCGCCAGCATTTCTAGTTCATCAAAGAAGTCCGATGAGAAATTGCAGGATTGCAAGAATGGAATGGCATGATAGTTCATCAAAGTATTTAAGTGAGAAATTGCGGGATTGCAAGATATCGGTGCACTACAATTCACTCAAGTAGTTTGGTGAATAAGTACTTAATCGCAAGAATGGGACTAATAGTTGTTCAAAGTAATTTGGTCATAAAGGGTTGAATTACAGTTGATCAAAGTAGTTGGATGAGAAATTATAGGATTGCAAGATGTCAGTGCACTACAATTCATTTTAGTTCAGTGAATAAGTACTTGATTACAAGAGTGGAACTGTATTACAGTTATTCAAACGATTGTTAACAAGATTAGAAGAATCAGACTTCACTACTCACAGTTCATCAAAGTGGTTTGATAAGAAATTGTAGGATTGTAAGAAGGACAGCCTTTTAGTTAATCACAGTTGGTCATAAAGAACAGGAGTCAGGTTAGGCTAGGACTGCATATATAGGGTGAAAAGATGCAAGACAAAGTTTAACATGGGACCAAAGACATTTTACCAGGTTGTTTGAGGGAAAATAGTAAGATTGTGAGGACAGGACTGCCTTACATTTCATGAAGGTAGCTTTGCTTAAATTGCATGACTTAAAGGATGGGACTGTGGTAGAGTTTATTAAGGTCATTTTAGTACTTCACATGACTGCAAGAAAGGGAAAGCACGATAGGAAATCAAAGTAGTAGTTTGGGGATAAGGGCAAGTCTGCAGTAACTTGGATGGACAAGTGACTGGTTGCAGGACTGCAAGGTTGGGATTACATTACAATTCATCAGAGTGGTTTGCGGAAACAAATAGCAAGATTAAAATGATAGAAGTTAAGTACAATTCATCAGGGCAGTTTGAGGATAGAGTGTATGATTTCAAGGATGGAAGTGAATTATTGGCAGGGTTATCAACAAAGTGAAGAAAGGGAACACACTGCAGTTAACCACGCTTCCTTTTGTGAAGAGTAGACCCCAAATCAAAATGGCTTTTCTGATACGACTGTAAGTTTCGTCAAGGTATTATTTTGATACATAGCTGCAGCCCAAGAGAAAAAGGTTTGGGTTAATTTTAGAAAACTATGAGCAAGGTCAAAGAGACCCACGCTGCTGTAAGGTCAAGACAAATATTTAATTTTCATAAGTTGTCAGTAGTTATGTCAATATTATATCATAATTTTATAAAGAATACTGTACTGAAAACTTCGAACCTCTGCAAACAATACACAACCCTTCACTATAAGGATTTGCAGGATACCGGTGGTGCACGCCTCTATGTTTCAAGATATTTTTTATTGTGAATTTAAAGCATAAGTATAAAGTTCTTTAAAATGAATGGGCAATGATCAGCGACATTTGTCTTTCTCAGCCATTACTTGACCATACAAATTACTTCAAATTCCAAATGTACTTGCATAGGACAGTCAAGTAAGGAAAAGGCTCTCCGTGCCGCAGCGAGGCCTCGAACAAAAGATCTTACTCGGAATTAGTATAACGCAACCACATTAAGACTAGCAGGAGTTAACTTTAGGATACAACCAAAAACCAACCAACAAAAATTAGTTGTACATTAATTTTACCTTTTATTGTTTTATTCTATCGTCAACGATTACAGCTAAGCATGGCAAATTAGAAAAAGCAAATGTTCAAATAACATGAAAAGCCATTAGCCACAGCATACTGTAGTGTACATGATTAATCACTAGGAAACTATTAGTATTCTTATGTCAAATTGCACTACTTTTATTTGTTCTAATCAATTATACTTTTTGAATGAAAGGTCACTTCGAACCTTGTGAAACAGAACACCTTTCCCAACAGTTAAGAGAACTGTAAACACATTCATTTTGAAATTCTGTTCTCCAAGTTCAAACTTTAAGAGCATTACGACTATCTAAACACTCACTTAAAATATTACACGTCAAACTAAATTTCAATGAATCACTCTTAATTTGATCCTGAAATATTAAGCTTTTAATGTCACTCAGTGTTTTAAAATCCTCACGTCCCTGTGCATTACCGTTCAGAAGCAAGTAAAAGTTAATTATAAGATTATTTTAAGCTCCCTGATACTTTGATCGAGGGAGCCCAATCGTTTCATGGCTTATCCATTCCAATCCATCAAATCGAAATGATTTGCCCAACAGAGTGATTTTTCTCAGACAAAATACCGTTTCTCTGTTCAATTTTGAAATACAATTGCTTCAAATGTATTGGAAACTAGAGATAGCTATTCATTTAGAGTATCCAGTGTTATTACTATATCACCAGACAATCTGATGTAGATAACTGTACAATTAACACCCTCCCTGAATGAGAGTCAGATTTCAACTTTTTCAACTTTCCCTCTCCTGCTTCCACGCTGGGAGAGCAGGGTAATGATTGCACTCTATAATGAAATAAAACGGAGTAACTGTCTTTACGCTGATACGGATCACTCCAAAATGACAAAATGGGACACACACAGATGCCAACCTATCAGGTACATAATTTTGATTTCATTGATGGAATGGATAGGCTTTAAAGTTGGTAGACTTCGTGTGCTCTGCCGCATTCTTCTTTTGACTCATTGTCCCCCAAACTATACAACAGTTGCCTATATCGATAATTGAGACATAGGTCAACTTTTAAGCCCAGAAAACATGTTCTTCATGGTAGAACATGAAAAACTTGACCAAAGCAGATAATCTGCATCTTCTGGTCAAAACCTGAAAATTAAATTAAGTGCGATTTTCCTATTTTTTATTTCACCTGACATTCACTCAGCTTTTTGGTATTGAAAAAATATATTTCTGAGTGAAACTTGACAAAGGATGTTTATACTCTCAATCCTGCCTGATTTACTGTCTGTCTGTTACAAATAAATTTTTCTCCACTACTCTACTTGTTACATTTTATGCAATCACTTTTATCTCTCTTGTTTTAGACCAATTTTTTTCATGGAAACTATTTTGGTTAACGTTTTGGGATCTACGGCAAATCTAAAAAGATATTCACATCTTCCTTGCCTAATCATTCTTCACAAAACGTTTAACCTGTTCCCACCCACAGTAAAATAAAATGGCGGTTTGAATGATATTCAAATTTTCTTTAGTAGCCTTTTTACATGATACTATTTGTTCTTTTTTGGCATTCAACAAAATAAAGTTTAAAAGGTTAGTCGAATTTTCACTTTAGCAACTTATGGAAATGAAGAGGTTAAAGCTGTAGCATACGTCACTCTACTTCCTATTCTACATCAGCTGTCCTGAGTTTCCTTTCCGGGAGACTGATCCTTTGTAAACTGCACCTCGCCGCCTGGTTGTATAAATACTGCAGGGCTGGAAGGTGGAATGTACGCAGGACTGGCCGAACTTACCCGCTCTTCGTCACTTTTGTTCTCCTCAGTTGCTTCTGTTCCATCTTCAGCGCTGCCTGTGATAGCTGTTTGAAAAAAAAAGGTAATAACAGTGAGTAACTAATCAAACTAGAGGTCTTCATAGTTTTCACCATTAAAATTTTAACATTTGAATTCTAAACAAGGCAGCCAGTGAGGCAAACGATACAGCAATTAAATGACTGTCTTTATATCAGGGTAGACCCCATGTATTTTCTTTTCTCCCTCCTCATGAAATAGCCACCTCTGTTAACAGTAACTGTTTGATAACACCTGGCATGACATAACCCATTATTAACGAAATAAAATATGTCTAATTGTTGATTAGCTTAATCCGACAGATGACATTTCAAAACAAGTAACGACCTGACTTTTTGTGAAATTTAAGTTAATAAACCACTATGTTTTTCATTATTGGTCAGATTGATCTGCTTAATTAGACCGTAATACCATGATCAGCCTCAAGCAATAAATTTTAATATCAGAATAAATGAATAGTCTTTGTCCACCAAAAGACCACTTAAGAGAAATGTACTAATAACAATAATAATGATAATGTCAGTGATAACGTTCCTAGATGCCCTTAGATAACAAACAAGCAAAACCATTTCCTCTATACAAAACAAAATAGCCCCTCCTGGCAGGCTGTTGCCTTGGCTACAAGGCAACAACTAAAATTACATGATCTATTTACTTTTAAAATGTTGGGATAGAAAACTTATTCATGTACTAAAAATTAAAATGCACCTAAAAATTTTTCTCTATCTTTGAAGATTAACTTGTGAGTACAAAGTTCGACCATTGCTTCAGCTCTTCAGCGCCTTGGGAATTTATTACAATCATCTTTATTTTTACCCTCATACTACCTATGAAACTTAACTGCCTCAGTTTTTCGCCAACCTGCGGATTGTAAGGTTACCTAAACTATTTGGATATATCACTATGAAAAAGTTATGGACATGAATACAAGTATCTCCTTCACAGTGGAAGTAATGGAGAGCACAACCCATGAAAGAGGATACCAAAATTCTTCCATAAAATTCCGGTGGTGTTACTGAAAAGGAAATTGTTAGTACATAAAATCTTACGAGATGAGGAGTTGAACATTAACACAGGGTTAAAAAAGGAGAAAAAAACACGATGTTAATAGCAGGTTTTTTTAGCAGTCCAGTCACGTTTTCCCCAAAGTAATTCATACGTAGATTTTGAATCGCTAACACATACAGAAGACTCTTGTCATGGAAGAAAACTAGTAGCGACCACTTTTGCACTGCATATGGATTGAAATCCACATTAGACTAGGCTGCAATGCCAGCATACCTCAAGGTCTGAAGAATGCAGGGCACAACAAAAACAGAGTTCTGATGCATGTCCATAACCTGACTCTGCTGACCATGTAAGTTTATTTTAGGTGCTATTGGTTGCAAACTCTACTAAATTATATTTAACAGTAACACTATCTAGCAAGTTAGCTTTTGCTGACAAGCTGCTGTATTGTTGATGTCTAAAGCAAACTTGCACTGTTTTTTAGAAAAACAAACAAACAAACAAACAAACCAAAACAAACAGTTAGTCAACTCCAGACAGCACAATTCAGATTTGGGTGGTGCATTGACTGGTCAGAATTAATGCTTTTAAAAAATTAATCATAACCAATCAGTAACAACACTCACATCTGAGAAGCACCATGTAATATGGGTGGATGCGTATTACTTCCTCAAAAGTGGCTTGTTTTTAACAATAACATTCGATCCCAGTCTCAGGCATACACTCTACCTGTCAAGTCTTCTTCCGAGAACGCTTCAGTTACACCCTCCTGATCTTCAGCAAACTTCTCACAATCTTCCTTCTGTTCAATTTTGTCAGCAGACGAGTGTTCGTCTGCCATGGGGCCTTCTTGTTCTTCTGTCACACTATTATTTGGGCCGCCCATACTGCATGTTGCATTGCCTTCTCCATCAACTATGTCTTCAGATACCGAAGAATCGTTATTATTTACAGAACCTTCGACCATCAGTTCGTCTTCCTTCTCCTTAGCAACTAAAGAGCCGTCAAGTACTGTCCCCAATCCATCACCCTTCTCTTCCAAACTAACAGGACCCTCAGCCTCTGCTTTGACCTGCCCAAGTGCAGTCTCAGGACTGTCCGTTTCTCCCTCTCCTTGATATTCCTTCTCATCCTGTTCATCAGAAGCAGCAGCAGATACAAGCTCCTGTTCAATCTTGGTTTCTGAGCCCCCAACTTCAGTGGTCTCACAGGTATATATACTACTTGAATTACAAACCTCTTCCTCGCTCTGCTCTTCAGAGGCCTCACAAGTTACATGTTCCTGCTCAGCTATGGTAGTTTTACAGATATCCTTATTACTCGCTCTACCAACCTCTTCCTTGCTCTGCTCTTCAGGGGCAGCAGCAGATATCTCTTCTTGCTGAATGCTGGTTCTTACCTGCTCACCTATAGAGCTTTCACAAACATCCACATTACTTGATTTACCAACCTCCTCCTCACTCTGCTTTTCAGAGGCAAAACTAGTTACATGTTCTTGCTCAGTCTTTGTTTCTTCATGCTCAGCTACAGAGCTTTCACAAATATCCATATTACTTTTTTCACCAACCTCTTCCTCACTCTGCTTTTCAGAGGCAGAACTAGTCACATGTTCGTGCTCAGTCTTTGTTTCTTCATGCTCAGCTACAGAGCTTTCATAAATATCCATATTACTTGTTTCACCAACCTCTTTCTCTTCAGAGGCAGAACCAGTCACATGTTCTTGCTCAGTCTTTGTTTCTTCATGCTCAGCTACAGATCTTTCACAAATATCCATATTACTTGTTTCACCAACCTCTTCCACAATCTGCTTTTCAGAGACAGCACTAGTCACATGTTCTTGCTCAGTCTTTGTTTCTTGTGGCTCAGCTATGGTGGTTTCACAGGTATCCACATTACTTGTTTTGCCAACATCTTCCTCGCTCTGATCTACAGAGACCGCGCAAGTTACATGTTCCTGCTCACTGTTTGTTTCTATCTCCTCAACTTGAGTTGTCTCAGACAAATCCACATCCCTTGTGTTTACAACTTCTTCCTCATTCTGAGAAGCAGCAGTTTCATTCGCCTTATGTACATTGAGTTCTTTTTCACCCTTGTCATCTGCTTTCGCGGATCCAAACGGTATTACATTTTGCGCATCTTCATTTGCCATAGAATCCACCTGCTCCAAAACTTTAATCTCCTCGCTGCTTTGAGCCTCCGTTTCTGCTTCTTTTTGTTCTCCAAGAACAATTTCTGCCTCACTCTTTGCTTCTTTTCTGGCACTGCTTTCTTGCTCTTCATCTGCTGTTACAGCTGGCTTCTCTTCAATAACCTCTCCCGAAGACTCACCTGGCTGCTCATCACTACTTTGCAGATTATCACTACCTTGCACCTCTGCCTCTTCCAGAGGGGTAGCATATTTATCTTCTACAGAGCTCTCAGCTGTCTGCAGGACTCCTTCTTTATTCTCAAGGGCAGCTGAACTTTTACTTTTCTCTTCACTGGTAAACTGATCAGAGCTATCGTGAAATTCTTCCTCTTCTTCTTCATTGCTTTCTTTCCCCTCTGATAACTCCAGTACTCCTTCAATGCCGGACTCAGCTTCCAGGAAGACATCCTCTTCTGAACTCTGCTCCAAGGCTTTCTCTACTTGACTTATTGACAAAGATTTCAATTGTTTTTCTGTGCCTTTCAAAGGGGACACGGTCAAAGGTAACTTCCTCTCTACAGCCAGCTGCTCAGATACCAGCTGGTCAGCGACAGACAGACCTGTAGAATTCAGTAGCTCCACCAAGACGATATTACCTTCTTGACCTTTGACTTTGATCTTAAGTTCTTTTCCTTTGCCAAGTTCTTTAAAACGTTCCACAGCTTCACTGCTCCACTCCTCTCCATAATATTTGTGAGGGGGTTCAATACTGCTAAGACTGCAGTTAACAGCCTGAACAGGAAGTACAGCAAACGCTGCTTCAAGTTTTTTGATCCTGTCGAGAGTAAGAGTCTCTTGCTTAGAGTAATCAACTGAGCGCACACTGACCTGGCCATCGGAACACACTTTATCAACAAGCGACCTATACCACTTATCATCCTCAGCAAATTTTGCACAGCAGACATCTCCATCTTGAAGGTAGTGAAGCCTCAAGTCATTTTCACCCAGAGCATAATAAAACAGTTCAATCCTTTCTGACATGGACTTAAGCTCAGTCTTAAAATTTTCTAGCTGGCACCAAAAGTCACTCGGTGAAGTCACTGATATCAAGCACACAGTATGAACTTCTCCATAATTTGGATAATTGTACACTATTTTGCCCTCATCACTCACTGAAACCCGTTTCGCGTCATCCCTAGATTTAAGCTGGGGCACTGCATATCTCAGGTTAACAAGAGTGTCTGCAACAGACTGTTTTGTTTCTCCTGAATCATGGAATAAATTAACCATCACAGAATCTCCTGAGACAAAGGTGATTTCTGCCGTGAGTTGCTTGCCATCATACATTTCAAGCAATTTTGCTGCAGTTTCGGTGTCACTGTATTCAGGAGCTGGGATTATTCCACCGAGACTACATTCAAAGCACTGAACAGGCAAAATAAAAAACTCCTCCTTCAGTTGCTTGATTGACAAAGCCACATCCATGTTACCATAATCCAAAAATTTAACTTTGACTCCAGTATCTGAAACACAAGTTATTACAGCTCGATACCACTCTCCGTCATCTGCAAATTGAGCACAACAAACCTGTCCCACCCTTGGATTCCCAATAACCTCTTCTGCTTCACCTAACAACGAGTACACTGCCGTTAACTGTTCCCTCATTTTTGTCAACTCAGCCTCTGAGTCAGCAAGTTGCAGTTGTATTGATTGTAAATCTTTTACTGCCATCATAAAAACATCTAAACATTGTTCAACCTGCAATTCTGGCCACTTGATCTGTCGCTCCTCTAGAGAGAAATCTTCCTGGATGTTGCATACCTCTGCATATCCCAAGTCAACCAGACTTTCATTCACCACTTTGCCATCATCACTAGTCAAGATCAACTCTACCAAGTCCCTGTATACTTCTATAATGTTTGCAGTAAGCACCTTAGAGCGACAGAATGACTCCAAAACACTTGAACACTCAGGCGACCACTGGCCATCATGAGACCTTGGACGTATACCTGCTAAACTACTTTCCAAGATAAAAACTGGCATTTCTAAGAGTTCATCCTTCAAAAACCGTAGCTCTGAAATTGGGATCTTTTCATGAGTTCCATAATCTACTAGCTTCACAGTAGCAGTGTCATCAGCAGAAATGCTTATTACTTCCCCTCTGTACCACTTCGAAGCCTCACCTTGTCCAGGAGAAAAATGAACGCAACATAGAACTCCAACTTCTGTATTTTCAAGCTTGAGCTCGCCCTCACCAAGTGCCTCATACATGGAGGTCACATGATTGGTTATCTTGTCTCTTTCTTCAATTCTTTCAGAGAGCAACAACTGCAATTTTGAAGGCAGGAAAGCAGAAACAAAACTAACAGGTAACATGGTTCCCTTCTTGACTTCTGGAAGCTTAAATGATCTCTTTTCGCCAGGTGCTGATGGATGTGGTGGAGTCAACTGTTCCAGTGTAACCTCTTCAATCAAAGATGTATCCCCAAGGCATTCTCCTACTACCTGCTCATTAACTGACAGCTCAGAACCAACCTCATATAGTTTAACTGTGTAAGAGCCATCAGCATGCCTTTCCGGCACTTCAACTTTGAAAGTTTTTTCGCAAAGAACCTCATTCAAGTATTCTGTGACCTTGGTGGGATCCACTCCTTCTAAATCTGCCAAGCGACAATGAATTGCTTGCGCTGGTAGTTTTAGGTGAGAGTCGCTTATTGGATGAAGCCTATCCACAGTGAGGGTCTCAGAATTTCCATAATCGACATAGAAAACAGTCACACTGGAGTTGCCTTGTAGATCTAGAATTTGTGCACGGTGCCACACATCATTATCTGTAAATTGCCCTAGACAAGGCACTCCTGGCAACAACTGAGATTTGTCCATTTGTTGGCCTGTCACATCATTAGCAATCTGATCCATCAGTGCAATTAACGCCTCTCCTGTTCTTGCTGGTTGCAGCCAAATACAGTCCGGGGAATCTGCACAAACAAAGTAAGCATCTTCTCGATTGTTACAATCAAACACCTCCTTAGAGAAAGACTTCACTTTTGGAGTTACTTTGCTACTGAACAAGTCAAGTTCTTGTATGGTTACAAACCAGGTATCACCTTGTTGTCTTGTAAACGTTACATGCAAAGGCTTGTCCATAACACTGGCTTCAAACTGCTGAACATCACTATCGGTCCAAACCTCTTTGGACCCCTCCAAGCGGCACTTGATTGCTTGCACTGGGAATGTCAAGAGTTCAGATTTTATTTGCTTCACAGCTTCCACTTTAAGACTATCAGTGTTGCCATAATCAACGAAAACGACTTCCACTTCTGCCTCAGAAAAAATCCTTGTGACCAGTGCCCTGTACCATTTGAAATCTTGACTAAACTTGGCACAACATGGGGAATCCACAAAACACATTTCCAGGGCATCTTCAGTAGGCCCCATTTGGTCGTACGTTTCACTAACCAGCATTTCAATGGTCTGTAGATCAGGTGATGTTTTGGACAGCTGAACAAAGAAGTCACCAGACTCTGTCACATAGCTTACAAACACCTCTTCGACCTGACTTGAGGAGAGCTTTTGCGGAGCGTAGGTTCCCACTTGTATACTTGACTCTTCAGTAACTTTTCCCATGAACATGTCCAGAACAGAGACTCCACTGCTTTCCAGACACACCCTCCATTTGGGACCATCACGGATCATGAACTTGGCTTGGAAGCACTTGTCAAGAGCAACTGTCTTTAAAGTATTCACTTCTTCAGGAGACCACACATCCTTGGTTGCATCTAGCCCACAAAGAGTGGATTGTTGTGGCAACTGCATAAATTCTTTTTCAGTATCCTTAATGCTGTAGAAGGGTACAACTTCGCAATTCCCATAATCAATAAATTGGACAAGTGCCCCATGAGAACCAACTTCCCTAATTTTCCCTCTGTACCAGTTGCCATCCTCACTGAAGCGTGCACAGCAGGACATCCCAGTGCATGGATTATTCAACAAGAAGTCCGATGGCTGCATTTTAGAGTAAAAAGTGCTCATCTTTTCACTCAGGATTGATAATGAGTCGAGCGCAGATTCAAATTGAACATAAAATTCGTCTGGGCTCACCACGTGGCTCACATAAACAGTGTTTGTCACATTTGGCTTGATCTTCAGCTGAGCGAACTCTCTAATCTGACATGTGTCTGAGTTGTCTTCTAGCATAGGTCCTTCATCAATGTAAGGATGTTGTACCTTTGGTTTCGTCTTTGCTCCAATTAATTTGCCACCTTTATCTGATAAACTAACTTGCCACTGCATTGTTTCTGTAAGTGACATAAACGTTGCCTTTAGTTCCCTACCATGCACTTGTTGATGAAAAGTGTCTGCATCGACTTGAGAATCAAGGCAGCAATGGACTGCTTGCACTGGAACATTTAAAAACTTCTTGTCCAATGGTCGGACATCTGACAGAAGAACCACATCACTGTTTCCATAATCAACAAAGTGAACTCCGACTTCAAACTCTGAGGGTACGCTTTCAATAACTGCTCTGTACCATTCCTCATCCTCAGCAAAAAGAGCGCAAATGGGTGTACCAACATCAAGATCTGGTGGATGCACATCATCAGGGAGGCTGGAGTTGACTCTGGAAAGTTCAGCCATCATATGTAAAAGTTGATCGTATGTCTTGGACAGCTGGATATAAAATGCTTGTGAACTCTTAGCGTAGGAAACATATATGTCTTCTGTGAGGCCTGAGTGCACAGCCATCTCTGGGAAGACTGGCTTTTGTCGCTGCAAGTCTTGAACTGAGTTGGAAATAAAGAAAAGGAGTCTCAGTCAACTCAAGTCTGATTCTCCTACTATAAATACAACCCTACTACAGATAGAGTGAAGTCCCACTGAATGTTTAACAGCAGATTTCTGACAAGGCCATGTTATAACAATGAGTTCCCACAGGTCTCTGACTCTTGACTTTGAACTCCAAGCACCCTTTCCTTTAAGAACAAAGTGTAGCACTTACAAAAGTATTCTGTAGTATTAAGCTGCACTGTTCAATGATACCCTAAATTATTTTATTACGTTTCTTTCTGGTAAAGTAATTACCTCAACAATTCCATAAACTTCACAACCTATTTAACCTTTCTATAAACTGCTGCCTCAGGAAACAAAAGATTTTAATTATTTGCCAAAGAGTGAAGTTATGACATTCTCAATGATATCACACCGCTCAAATGCAAATTAATGCTAAAGAGAACATGACTACAGAAAGTAATAACTATCAATGCAATGTATGCCAAGCAAGGGTGCGCTGCAACAGCACCAGTGCCCCCTAGTGGTTCAGTTATGTCTTGGGTGGAAAGAAAATCTTAGGTTAATTCCACTTCACTTATAAAGCAATTGGAAATCGCATTTTAATAAAGTGTATCACATGACTTGGGGAAACTGAAAGCATGTGAGGTGTATCTCACAGTTTTGAAGCTATGGAAAACACGTGTAACTTCACATGGTTTGAAGGCAATGGAGAACATGTGTAGAGTGACATGCTGGCAATGTGAAAATGAGGAAACCAGCTCACGTGACAACAAGGTATATTGTGCTACAGAGAAAATGGCTGCCATTCTCGACTTTTATTCCCATAAAAAAATAAATTAGGAAGCAATTATGAAGGGCACCCTGCATCTCACTGGTTAGAGCTTTAGAGCATCACACAATTATTGTTCCTTGAGCAGACCTTCAGGAGTCAGCATACAACAACACAGAACACAGCAATGGTTCATGTACATGTATTTAAGAAATTTCTTTGCTTTCTTAAGCACGACATAAAAAAAGAAGAGAAACAAAAAACTGAAGTCAAGGGCAAGGAATAAAAAATGGTGAATTATGAACAACATCCGAAGAAGTTACACACACTGACAACTATTTTTGTACCAAAAGCAAGTAACAAAGCTGCTGTACAAAATATCTCAAAATAACAATGACACAACAGGAAACCCAGGATAGCTCAAGTTATTTCAATTTTAACTTTCCAAGGGTTAAATTACGTTACATTACATTACATTACATTACATTATTCTAACACATTAACAAGGGTTAGATAAACAGCTACAGTGGAAGCTGCTCCTCAGTCACAAGCCAATGAAAATTGCTAGTCGCAAACAAGCAGATTTTTAATGCCAATGTTTAAGCACCAGCTAAATGAAGAAACATTTTAGTCCAACACAGACTCAGAAAAACATTTAATGGTTTAGCCATATCTGTTAACATGGCATTTGAATGGCTTTCCATGTATGATTTAGATCAAACCATTTCACGCAGCATTTTGGGCCAAACAGAAATATTTGATCAATTGGCCAGCTTTGGTAACAAAGTAAGCTCAAAAAGGAAAAAAATAAGCAATCATAGAAAGAGTACATAGAATTATTTTTTTGCTGTAATATACAAAACCCTTTATGTGGGCTCACACCATGTAGTATTCAGTCAAACAATGTTTGCTTCTTTATTCGCACTTAGTACGTTGGGACAAATGTAACATAAAATGAAAATGTTTCATCATTTAACTGTGGATTAACTTCAATTAATTTACTGGAACACTGCAATATTACACCAGAAAAATAATTACCATAATGGTGCATTGTACAAGCAATATTTTTCATATTCGATGCCTGATACAACAGTATATAGGAGAGAAACACTCTGGAAAGTATATAATTTATCAAATATACTTCCATTTGCCTCTGAGCTGCCCGTAACTGCCCATACAGAACTACAATCCTTGTACGCAATTTGACGTTATCAGCTTTCACAGTCAAGGACAACTTTGTTACCTAACTTGTTCAGGGGATGAGATCTTTCAAACCATATCAAAATAAGCAAGGGTCAGAGAAAAAGACAAAACCATGTTAAGTTGGCCAAAAAATTCTTATGAAAATGTTGTTCCCCTACCAGCCTGCACTTCCTTCCATCCAATCTCGCAATCCTAAAAGGTTTCCCAAAATCTATTCTCACCAAAATGAAGACTACTAGACAAAGGCAAACAAACAAACCAGAAAAAATTCTGGGGGGAGAATACTGAAAGGAAAGGGGAACAAGGAAAGTGAAAGGTAAAACTCGTGACTTGAACTTTTAAACCTAAAACCTTGACATTTTGCTTTCTGCACCTGCCCAGACTTTGAAAGCTGATATTTTGCACCTGGAACAGAAGGCCATGAAGAAAATTACCAGTAAACGGCTTTTAGGTAAGTTTTAAATTTTATAGCCACACAGTAACCAGAAAACTGCTCGACTAGCTTCAACACGCATTTTTCAGCACAATTTCCTGGGATGATTAGGTTAAATAGAAATTAGTCTTAGGAATGTGGAATTCAACAACAGCTTTCAAGATTTTCATTACTTCTATGTGAAGCATGGTAAAAAAAAGATGTCGATCAGAAACATACCTTCTCCCGAAAAGGTGTTGTACACTTCTTCGCTCACACAATGCTCATCCTTACTGAACACTTTGACCTGGTATGTGTCACCTTTCTGACCAATAATCTTTATAACCAGCTCATCCTCTCCTGTTAAGTCTTCAAAGAGGGCTGTTGCTTTCTCCGACCACTGTCCTCTGTTAGGATCCAAAGAGCACTTGACAGCAACTTGAGTTGTCTTGAGAAACAATGGTGAAATCTGTTTAACTGCAGAATGTTCCAAAGTTTCTTCATTTCCATAATCCACATAATGCACTGTAAAGTCATTTTCAGAGAAGCTAAGAATATTAGCTCTGTACCACATCCCTTCATACAATGCTACACATGACTGTCCCACCACTGGTGAATCGATAGAGCTTTCTGTCTCGGAGAGCTGGCTGTAATGGCTGTTCAGGTCATTCATCACTACAACAATAAGGACAAGTAACAACAGGGTAAGAAAATAACCGATCAGTTGAACAAATTCATTCTTGTTTTTACAAAAAACTATGCTCACACTGCTTTGTTCTCTTCACAAAATTTTTTGCGACAAAAAGCTTGAGCAAGAAATGCCTTCAGGAAGAAGATATAGAAACCAAACTTTAACTAGCACTTACTTCCATCGAGTTGTTCTTTTAAGTTGACCAGTTGGCAGTAAAACTCTCCAGGGGAAGAGATATGACTGATACATACACCACAAGTTTCACCACTTTTCAAAACGGGCTTGATGTACTCAGCAGCTGGTGTTGTGCCCGGAACAGTGGATTTTATCCCAGCTAAACCTGCTTTGAACAGTTCCTCTTGAACATCAGTAGTGCCATCTCTCAGTTGAATCTTGAACGGCTCAGTAAACGACAAGAATTGGGCATCCAGCTCCTTCTCAGAGACCAACCCCTCAAGAAATGTGCCTGCTTCATCAGCCCAGGTCTGACCAGCAGGTGGTTGTAGGTTATGAAGACAACACTTGATTGCCAAGGGAGGATCACCAAAGAAGTCATCATTTAGCACTTTTGTCCTATCAATATTCAGTGTTTCCAAATTGCCATAATCTATGAATCTCACAGTCAATTCACTAGCATTGACATCCTCCACAACAGCACGGTACCACTGGTTGTCCTCCGAAAACTGTGCACAACAAACATCTCCCACAGAGATAGTGCTCATCTTCAACTTATCAGCAGGCATAGAATCGTAAATGGCAGAGATCTTACCCATCAGAGAAGTAAGCTTTTCTTCAGAACCACTTATTTGACAATAAAAACTCTCTGGTGATTCTACAGCTGTGATGTAAACTTTCTCATTTTTTGAAACACGTGGTTTTTCAAGATCAGACAGGGATTTCATTGCTGATGATGATTGTTTGGCTAACCCTTCCTTCACTAACAGCTCACCAATGTTGATGTCTTCAGAAGAATCAGAGGTATCAAAAAGCTCAATTTCCAGGTTGCCACTTTCTGTTTTAGAAATATAAAAGGGAAAACATCAATAACTGTGAACCCACGAATGTATGTTTTTTGTGTCGAAACATCTTTGTTTTGGCATGAAAACAGAAACAAAACTAGCTATGATGAGGCCAAACAAAAAAATGTTATCACCACTAATTTCCATCTTTTGTTTCTAAAAGAAGTCTCGATGACTCAAAAAGAGAACTGGCAGGTAATTTCTACAAATGGGTCTTGACAGCTTAACAATTTAATAGAAAACTTACATTTAAATCTCAAGGCTGGAATCAATAGGATGTAACTGGGAAGGAACACAGATTAATTTGACCAGAGGGGTTAACATATGACAAATAGGGAACACTACCTTTTTTGATAACTTTGCCAAGTAACCTTTTGTGCATGGTGAGGTTGCAGAACCTTTCAATGGAATCATCAGACCACTCAGCACCACCAACAGGACTGATGGAGAAAATGCCACACTGGATCACCTGAGGAGGCAGCTGTAACAAGTCTGCGCTGATGGTCTTCAATTTGCTCAGTGGCACTGTGTCAATGTTACCAAAGTCTGAAAAAGACACCTTCACCTTCTGCTGGTCCACCACTTCAACGATGGTTCCTCTATACCACAAACCATCAGCTGGAAATTGAAAGAGAATGCCATGGTCATCAAGCCCACCTGCAGTAACACCCATATTAACTTGTTGGTGTCTACTTAACAGTGGTGTCTACTTGGCTAAATGAAAACTCCTGTTGCCAATAATAATGTTTATAATGGGAGAAAAAGGGCTGCAATGTACCCCTGGTGAAACAGCCAATTATCTTACTCTAGAGTGCCTCCTCAGAATCTCTATATCGATTCCGGTTCTGGACATATCCTCACAATAACTCAGAAGAGGGAGTCCTTTCTTTCATCACTGGATTGCACTCTAATTAAGTAGACCTGAAACAGACATGTGCAAACAGGACAAAAAACTACCTTACTATTGCTGTAATTAATGGAAATGCAAAGTTTTAAAAATCCATTGTGACATTTGGTATCAAGCCCTTTCTACCTGAGTTTGCATCCACAATATTATTGGTCTAATTGGTGCCAAATTTATCAAGAGTGTATTAAGAAGTACACAGTGCTACACAGAACCTGTAAACAAAAATGATGCAAAACCATGTTTTTCACATCTGACCTGCGAAAACTGCAGCACAATTCAATCCAACAGTGGGGTTGCTGATTCCCTGTTCCTGCACTCCAAGTACTTCATAACAGTCCTGTAACTGGTTCATCAGCTGTTCCAACCTCTCTTTGTGATCAGCTGTTGCAATCTGGCAGTGAAATAGGTGTGGGCTAACACATGCAGTAGGGCAGAACTGGATGGATGAACCTTCTGTAATCTCATCTAGTAAGGATGTATCTTGAAAAGAGAAGAAGTAGTCAGTTAGTTAACCCATTTGCCCCTTGAACATTTGCCAAAAAAGATCTTTTGAACTTAGTCAAGTCATTTGTGGTCACTATCTTGCTGAAAAGAATCAAAAGCACAGTTTGCAACTCAAGCAATATGTTGCATTCTGCTCATGATGCTAAATATCAACTTCTAAAGTTTGAACATGTGCAGAAGGCTAGTTTTTGAGAAGCATCGACTTGTTGCAACCATGACACTGGAGGATTTTTGATCCAGGATTTGGAGATACCTTCTCCTTACAATTCGCTTTCTCTCCTGGGAATTTGGTCTTCATTTAGTTGGGAAAATGTCCTGGGCAAACTTGGAGGACAGTAAGATTGGTTAAAAGGAAGTGCAGGTGGGTAGTGGTTAGTGGTTGGATAAAGATTTTCCATGGAATTTTCGAGTCAACTTTACATGTTTTTTTGCATTTTTTAAGCACTGCCGATCAATGCAACTGATGTTTGAGTCAATTAAGATTTGACACAAAGATATTAGGAGAGAAAACCACTCTAATTTTATTGTTGGCGAGCAAGGAGCCATGATCAAAATCAGGTTGGTCAAAATCTAGTACGCAGGGGCTGTGAACCCTTCTAAGACTTCCCCTAAGATTGATAAGAATGTGAAAAATGTTGTGTTGCGCACTGTATGTTATGCAGTTCCAATCACATGAAGTTATCTCTGTATGGCGAATATAAGCAAGTACCTACTGTAACCTTGAACATGTCAGGTAACAGCTGAGAAATGTTTAAAAATGCAACATGAAACAGTGTATGGTTATTCAAATAGTAATGCCATATATAGTTTCATTCATAATTTTAATTGACTTGAAGGCATTTGCTTTGAAAACCAAGAAAAACTTATCTGATTGATTTAGTTGCTCACATTATAATCCTAGGTCAACTTTGTTGTACATGTATGAATTTAACAGAGGTCTACTCCAATACTACTTTGCTTTCTTTTCCAAAACCCTTGCAATTCTAAAATGTATCCTCAGAACCCTTCTATCAGTATCTGCAATAACCATACTATCTACCCTTACGTTATTTCTAGCTATAATAATACATGTATTGTATACTAGCTTGACGTCAATAAAATGAGACATTGGAATGAGATGTTGGATTCCATTTCCCAGGTTTGTTCACATATCAAGGACAACCCTGGTGGGCTAAAAGGCATCCATTTCTTCTGCCTCCCTTAAATAACCACCTACAGTTAATACATAGATGGCGGTAAGACAAGAGGCATCCAGTTACTCACAAAAAATTAATATCTAATAGAGAGGAGAAGTGTCATGTCATGTTAACCTGGTAGCAAAATTTCTGGATCTCAGCAATCTTTCTTGACAGAGATGGCTATTCGCCTTATCAAGCCATCAGAGTGCAAAGAAAGTCATTTGCTGAAGCTAACATTTACTAGCCCAAACATAATTTCAACTAGCCCCAAAAATGTTTTGATGAGCAGATCTTGATTTAGCAGTTCTTCTGTAATTTGAATTTCTCAAAAAACTCCACTTGCCTGTCGGAAGAGTTAATAACAGAATTCACTAGCCCAACAGCAAAATCCACTAGTCCCGGGCTATCGGACACTACTTTCTTTGCACGCTGAGCCATGTAAGAAAACTATGGGCTACTGTTTTGTTCCTGACTAAAAAAAAAACAAGCAAGCAGAGGACCAAAGGTCGTACCTGTCAATTTTTTTTTTCCATATTTGCCGGAAAATTATTTGTTGAGATCCAGAAATTTTGCTAACATGGCAATGAGATATAACAACTTCTCTCTATACTCAGGAGGGTGCTTTTGATTGGAAAATCTGGCCTTAGATATTGAAATCAGGATTTTGGATTTGCCATAAAACATCAAAACCATTTCAAATCTGAAATTCAAATTTCAAAATCTAAATCCAGATTTCCTATGGGATGCACCCTTAAATTCAGCTACTACCTGTACATACCGGTCTTAATTTCACCGGGTGGTGCATCACCAAACAAGACAGAACCATCCTTGGATGTCAACTCCACTTCATAAATTCCAGGTTGTTTGTTGCTGATCACATGAAGGACAAACTCTTGTTCGAGAATAACATCTTTTAAATTTCCTGGTGTACCATTCAGGCAGCAGTGAACAGCTTGTGCAGGCAAAGAACAGAATGCTGGCGTTATTGATCTAATACCACTCAAAGGAAGTGTTGCACTGTCGCCATAATCAATGTAGAAAACACTGATGCTTTGCCCTTGGACTTGGGTGACCTGAGCACGATACCAGCCACCATCTTCATATTGAGCAACACAGAAAGCACCGGTGCTGATTGATGTTGCAGCTTCCTGATTTGTTGTGTAATACTCTTCAAGCTTGGTCATAAGGTTTTCTAGGTCACTTGACGATTGAGATGACTGGCAAAAGAACTTCTGTGCACTTTCCACAAATGGAACAAACACTTCCACTTGATCGCCTTGCTTCCACTGAATGCTAGGAACACTGCAAGATGACATCTCAGCTGTTTCTGTTTCTCCAGACAAATTATTGTTACTTATGGAAGTGGAACCCTCTTTTGGAACCAAATCCACTTCATAAGTATCTTGCCCTTTCACACCAACAACGTGCGCTTGAAATTCTTTTTCAATGACAAGATCTTTAAAGTTTTGTGGCCCTTCAGTGGGAAAATGTCCCTTCAAACAACACGTTACAGCTTGGGCAGGTAAGGATGAGAATTCTGGCCTTATTGATCTAATACTACTCAAAGGAAGTGTTGCACTGTCACCATAATCAATGTAGAAGACGCTGATGCTCTGCCCTTGGACATCGGTAACCTGTGCACGGTACCAACCACCATCTTCATATTGAGCAACACAGAAAGCACCGGTGCTGATTGATGTTACTGCTTCCTTATTTGTTGTGTAATACTCTTCAAGCCTGATCATAAGATCATCTAGGTCACTTGACGACTGAGATGATTGGCAAAAGAACTTCTGTGCACTTTCCACAAATGGAACAAAGACTTCCACTTGATCGCCTTGCTTCCACTGAATGCTTGGAATTCTGCAAGATGACACTTCTGCAGTTTCTGCTCCTTCCAACAACTTGTTGCTTAAGAAAGTGGAATCGTTACTTGAAACCAAATCCACTTCATAAGTATCTTTCCCTTTTACACTAACAACTTGTGCTTGAAATTCTTGGTCAGTGACAAGATCCTTAAAGTTTTCAGGTCCTTGGTTAGTAGAATGTCCCTTCAAGCAGCACTTTACAGCTTGGGCAGGCAAGGATGAGAATTCAGGTATTAGTGATCTTAAACTGCTCAAAGGAAGGGTAGCAGTGTCACCATAATCAATGTAAAACACGTTGACACTTTTGTCCTGAACATGCAAAACTTGAGCCCGGTACCATCCACCATCTTCATACTGGGCAACACAAAACATTCCAGCAGTGACTGAAGCAACATTTTCTTGACTAGCACCATAATGCTTCTCAAGTTTAGTCATAAGATCATCAAGACCACTTGCATATTCAGAGACCTGGCAGAAAAACTTTTGTGTGCTTTCTACAAACGACACAAAAACATTTACATTGTCACCAAGCTTCCACTGAATACTGGGAACGCTCAAGGATGATATAGAGTCTGTTTCAAAATCCTTGGACAACACTTGACTGATTGATGCAGAACCATCTTGTGGTATTAAATCAACTTCGTAGATACCACTACTCTTTGCACTTACAACTTGTGCCTTAAATTCTTGCTCAAGGACAAGGTCTTTGAAGTTTTCAGGACCTGTTCTCAATAAGAAACCTTTTAAGCAACATTGCACTGCTTGTGCTGGCAAATTAGAAAACTCAGGCATCAAAGTTCTGATGCTGCTAATTGGAACAATGGCACTGTCTCCATAATCAATATAGTTAACCTTGATCTCTCCACCTTGAACATGCTCCACTTTTGCTCTGTACCATCCACCATCACTATACAATGCAACGCAGCAAGAACCATTCGAGATTGTCGTGAGGTTTTCTGAATTACTTTTATAATATTCCTCAAGTTTGTTCATGAGATCGTCAAGCTTGCTTGAATGACTTGAAGCTTGGCAAAAGAATTTCTGTGCACTTTCAACGAATGGGACATAAATGTCAAGGGTGTCTCCAATCTTCCAATCTGAATAAGCAATCGTACAAGCTGAAGACGCTGAGGACTTTGATTCCCTGCCAAGCATGTTGGCAACCGACTGGCTTGTTTCCTTTGATACCAGATCTACAGCGGCAACCCCACTTTCCACAGATAAAACTTTGGCTGTGAACTCTTTCTCAGAAACAATCTCTTGGAACTGAGTGTCACTGATGTCCCCAAAATTCCCAGATAATGCACAATCAATAGCTTGGCTAGGAAGGCTGTGAAACTTTGAGTTTAAGGCCTTCAGTCTTGATAGTGAAAGAGTTTCAGAGTTTCCATAATCTATGTACAGAACTGATATGCTGTCCCCTTGGACACTAAGCACTTTACCACGATACCAACCATCATCCAGTGTAAACTTGGCAGCACAGAACTCACCGACTGATGGTTTAGGCATTTGCTCCTGTTGCGGACCCAACTGTTCATAATAGTCAAACATCTCATTCATTAAATCATCCAAAGAAGAAGATGTTTTCATTAACTGACAAGAAAACTTTGAAGGGCTGGTAGCAGAGGACACAAACACTTGTTCAGTGATACCAGGCTGGATTGCCACACCAACAATACTGGCTGCTCCTTGGTTTGTGGAGGGGCCCATGAGAGCTTGAAGTTCTTTTGCAACATCTAAATTCTTTCCCTCGGTGGTGTCTAGTAAAACAACCTCATAGGTACCACTGCTTTTATCATGTTTATCGGCCATCATTACAAGTTCTTTGTCCAGTGTAAGTTCCTCAAATCTATGCATGACATCATCTGACAGCAAATCTTTGTTCAAGGGATCAATCTTCAAAAGAGCACACTTAACTGCTTGGGGTGGAAGGAGTAAATACTCAGCCTGTAGCCTTTTGACACGTGACATTGGAAGCAACTCATAGTTTCCATAATCAACAAAGTGGACTTCTACTTGGCCTCCTTTTTGAACACCTGTAATTTTCCCTCTGTACCACTTGTCATCTTCTGTGAACTGTGCACAACACAACATACCTAAAGACAACAAAGTTTTAAAACCAGCCAATCAATGCAAGATGATGTCTTCTGCTTAGAATACAAGAATAAATCATTACTTTTTATTAACCATTAATGTCACAGATGACAGGTTGTGGTCTGACTTGTTTATTGTATCAAAAACTCCAGGTATTGAGAGTCAGTGACTGTAAATATTGAGAATCACTGGTCAGGATCAAAAATTAATATTGAGAAATTCTGATAGCAGTCTTTAGTTAATTAATCAAGCAAAAATAACAGTAAAAAGGAACAAGTTTATTATCCTATCATTTTCTTTTGAGTTTGTTTAAATTTTTATCTTGGTATTTTTTTACCATTGGTTTATTCCAGAAAAAATTCACACTCCCACAATGGAAGCAAGGCTGCTGCCTAAGAAAATTTTCTAGGAGCCCTTTGGGCTCCTAAAATAAAAATTTAAGAGCTCGAGCCCCATTTCTAGGAGCACATTAAAAAAAATCAATAACTTTATTAACATGAAAACTTCTTGCAGGTGACAAGTGGTGCACTAATTGGATGATTGATAAGCTAAATTTATTATTTTTCCAACTCATAGGGGCACAAATAGCATAGTATAAATGTCAATGTTGGGGGTCAATCTCTGTTTTTTGTTGTTTTTGTTTTTTTAATTTCTTTTCCTCAACCTTACCCAGGGTGCTTGAGGTTAATTTTTTTTTTTTACTTTATTGTATTTCAAGAACGGAACCCTGCAGCCAGGGTACCTAAACCCAGTTTTAATTAGTTAACTAGGATAACCTTATTGATACTGTCTGTATCTTAAGCTGACAGCAACCAGATCCCCAAACTTGATTTACATTTCTCAAAACTTAGTTCCCCTCTCAACCATTTTTGTCTCATCACACAACGCTGAGCACCATTACGTGATGAGACAATTAACTGGTGCGAGGAAGACTACTAAAAACTCGAATAAATCAAGTCTGAAGTTGCAAAAATCGAGCCTTGAGTTTCATGAAACCGGCATTTTTGATATTCATTGCTCAAAAGGATTTCGAGAAATGATTCATTTCTCAAGAAAAATAACAATAACCATTTGCACTTAAAGCGAACAATCACCAATCAGGTCGAAGGGAAATTTGAAATGCAGAGTAAGGAAATCCCTTCTGCTTCGCAGACGTTACTAATGTGGGGTTACAGTAACAATCAAAAGTACGTTACTGGTAATGTGATACCACGTTATCACATTGCCCGCTACGCAATTCTCGTCATGCGCTACACAATGAATGATTTTCCAGCAATCGGATACTCATGTTTTGCGCACAGGATTTTGGGATCGCTAGGGGGCAAACATTGCGAGTCGCTACAAAGAATTGTATGGCATGGAGTTGTTTCTCCATTAAAAGCAGTGTCTTTGGGCATAGAATGCCACACTTTGCCGTGATTTTATGAGAAACGGAGGTGACTAACGTTGGTGTGTTGAAATTTCAAGTTTCTGTGTGATTAATGCGATAAATTCTATCGATAAACACTCCTTGCGTGAGGTTGAGTGTGAAATTTATGTTTACTGAATTTACACAGTGATCTACATGAAGAAAAGGTCTCAAAATATGTAGTGCAAATTTAGGTATACATGTAGGGGGATTGGCTCATTTAAGCTTTTTAGTTTTTAGTGTGGTGATATTTACAACGAGTGCAACTACGCTTGGCTGCGATCAGCTCTTTGCGGGTTATGACGCTGAACAATCGTAGGACGTGGCCATAAAAATAAAAAATCCTCCTTTACTTTGGTATAAACAAAGTAACATAGATAGATTTCATCGCATTGATCCCACAAAAACTTACAATCAACGCACCAACATTAGTCACCTCCGCTTCTCATAAAATCACGGCAAAATGCGGCATTCTCTGTCCAAAGACACTGCTTTTAAACGGAGAAACAGCTCCACGCCATACATTTCTTTGTAGCGACTTGCAATGTTTGCCCCCTGGCGATCCCATAATCCTGTGCGCATAACTAAGTCTCCAGTTACTGGAAAATCATTCATTTCGAGAATCCTTGAGGGCATAAATTACTGACCACACATCTAGAGAGAAACCAACCAAAAATTTCACATAGCTTTACCTCGAAGACTGAGGAAAACGGGCTTGTCATTAGCACACTGTTTAATTGAAGTTTCTGAGTTTTCAGATTTGATAGCAATTGACATTAAAATTTTTGATCCTGAGGTTTCGTTCGCAAAAACATGAAACCTGCTTCTAGTTTCTTGATTTTTTGAATGAACAAACCAATCTGAGAAGAACTGAATCTTTTGATGTGTGTAGTTATCGTTCACCGATAGCGCCAGCTTTCACCAACGAAATATCAACAACATCGGTTTTAAGATTCATGAACTCAGTGTATGGTCACAGAATAATGTTAGCTTAATTTGTTCTTTACAGCTCTTTTATACAGTCACTAACTGATTTATGAAAGAAAGTTGTCTTGAATTTAACAAATTACAGTGGACAAATAGGACAACAATGCATTTGCTGAATAAAATTTTTTGCGTGACAGCACATCAAAAATTTGCTTAGTGTCAAAACATGTGTGATTATTTGAAACCTACTTCTCAAGCACTGTATTTGCATACTCTTTTTCACACTTTAAGATACACTTTTTGGTATGTCCACAAACTTACTGGCTTAAACTTTAACCCTTTAAATCCCAATAGTGACCAAGATCAATTTTCTCCTAACAATATACATACACTGTCAAGAGATAAGTCATGAGAATTAATAAAATGATCACCCAAGAGAAAAGGCCTTGATCTTACATTAAATTCTCTCAACTAATTCTTAAAGGAAATGTATGGAGATCAGTTTGGAGAATTTGTATGTTGATATTGGGACTTAAAGGGTTAAAAGCAGCACCATGTACTGATAGGTTTCTAAATATCCAATGTACGTTTTCTTCCATTAGAGTTTACTGGCACATCTGTTTGTCCAAAAGAAACCAAAAGTTATATGACAGTGCGTTTGGAAGCGTTGCCGATGGGTCTACAATTCATTTGAGCTTGAAACGGTTAAAAAAACCTGCAGGCGTTACAAGCAAAGCTATTATCTCAAAAGTTTTTAATAAAAAGGTAGTTTTCAAGGTGGCGCAGTGGTAAAAAAGTGACTTTATTAAAAGCATGTTTTACACAAATAAGTAAATACCGATCTTTCACAAAACGAATTATACGCAACAGTCTACAGGTCGCAGAGGTAAAAATTTACCACTGATTCTTGATTCTTGATTCTTAAGTGACGGTAATTAAAGTTTTTTGGCCATCGCACACTAATAGAATCATGTCGTGTCCTACAGGAATTGAAAATTAAATTCAATGACTTTCAAGGTTTTCCATGACCTGAACGAACCCTGGGGGGATTAGAGAATTTAACACTACATTACTTACCGCATGCTGGATTGGAGATCGAATTTCTTTGTCCCCCAGAAGAATACAGCTCTGAAATCTCGTGCATCAGTGAATCCAGTTGTTCAGCAGTTTTTCGTAGCTGACACCAAAAGTCACAAGGATGGTCTATGTAACTAACAATCACATCTTCAAACTGGCCAACCTCCAGATCAGGCTCCGGAAAGGTTTGCGACATGAGGTTGCTAAAGTTTGCAGAAGCAGGAAGAGCTCCATCTGCTAGCTCAGCATTTCCTCCAATCAGAAGCTGTTCACTGATGTTTTGTTCCTCTCTTCTGTTTCTCACGACAAGTTCCACTCTGCATATTCCACTCCCATCCTGTGCGATGACTGTCATCTTGCCCTCCATTTCTAAAGCCAAGTCCATGAACTTTTGGCTATCACCAGACTTCCACTTACTCTCTCCTGCTCCTCCTGTAAACTTGGGCTTGATCCGGTTCAAACTACACTCTATGCCCTGCTGTGGCAATTCAGAAAATTTGGGAATCAGCTTCTTGATCCTGCTAGCAGGTACAGTCTCAGAGTTCCCATAATCAATATACAGCACAGTGATTCCTTTTGGAGCAGTACTTATCACGACAGCACGATACCAACAGTTATCCTCAGAAAATTGAGCACAACATGGATCGCCAGGGGATGGTGATGACAGCAGCTCCTCATTTGCACCAAGTTTGGTATAATGGCGGGCAACCTCCATCATCAAGTTCTCAAGTCTGGGTCCATTCCTAAACAGCTGGCAGTAGAACTTTCCAGGGGTGACGATGTTTGTGACTAAAACCTTCTCTTCTACACCAATCTGGATCTTCTCTTTGGAAAACACAGTCCGAGGAGCTGGTTTTGAAGCTGGATCGGATGGTTTGAAAGCAGTTGTGGGAGCAGTGGGAGCAGTGATAGTCCTAGATGTAGTGGAGTCAGCAGACTTGACACCATAATTAGCAGCTATAAGAATCTGGTTGAGCTCCATATCAAGATCAGAAGTTGTATCCATGAGTTTAACTCTATGTCGTCCATCACTCTCCATGCTGGTTACGAGCCCCACAACATGTTTATAATTGATTAGCTTCTCAAATAGTGCCTTGGCCTCATCAGCCCACAGTCCATCTTTACTTGCAGGGTCAACTCCTGCAATGGCAAAGTACAAAGCTTGGCATGGTTCCTTAAGAAATTCATCCTTCAAGTCTCTAACATCTGACAACTCTGTGTTTTGGGTATTGCCGTAATCAACAAATCTGACTTCTATCTGCCCAGTCACAATTGAACTCACGTTAGTAATTATTCCTCTATACCAAGCATCATCCTCGTAGAATTTTGCACAGCAAGGATAACCTACAGTGCATGACTGAAGAGGTAACATAGACGGATCAAGGTTTGCATAGACATCAGCAATCCTCTCCATTAACTGCTCCAGTGCTTCAGCATTGGACAATAACTGGCACCAAAAATGAGACGGATCCTCAACCCATGTGACACTGAGGTCATGAAAGGAATCTTGTGGAAGAGTGACAACCTTGTATTTCACTTCTCTTTTGAAACTTGGCTGTCTAGCCATTGTGACATCTCCATTGCTCAGGGCATCCTCGGTAGTACCAGCTCCACCATTTTGCATCAAATCTAAGACAGACTGGGTGCCTTTATCGTCAACAAACAGTTGAGCGACTAGAACGCAGTTTTTCTTCAGATGAATAGCCTTGCAGTATAGTTCTTGTTCTAGTATGGTGTCATTTAACAGCGTCAACATCTCATCGAAACGATCGCCGCGAAATCGATCAAAACCTTCCAATTCACATTCAAAACATTGTGGTGGCAGTTCGCAAAACTTCTCTTCAGCATTTCTGATACAACTAAGAGACACAAATTCAGTATTTCCGTAATCTATGAAAAAGACTTCGCATTGCTGTTCGGCCACGTTCACACCTAACACTCGAGCGCGGTACCATCGACTGTCTTCTAGATACTGTACAACATAAATACGCCCTAACATGATTTCGGAAGCTGTGGGTGGTTTCGCTCTTCCCGATAAAACATTTTGTTCGATTTCAACCATAAGTGCATCCAACTTTCCCGCCTCATCGTTGATTTGAACGAAGAAATCCCCCGTCGAAGCCTCCACGTGCGTCACTAGAACACTCACTAATTTCCCGAAAGGGAACTTCACATGCATCGCCATGACTTAAAACGACAAAAATGAAAGTCTTTCACTTATACTCTTGTCGCAAGGAAGATCATATCGTGGCCGCAGTGAGCTCGCAAATGACTAGTTGATCCGCGATCGAGGTAAAGCGCCGCGAAACTCGCGGACTTCGCGGGACTGCGCACATGGTATTCGCAGACCATAATTTCACATCTTCGGAAGCCCCCGAGGGCTCTTGTCGGTTTTCGTGACGTTTCGTACCTTTTCACCTTGATTGACCTTCTTGATCGTAAGCCATTCGTCAACAATCGAATATTGAAGGCGCGGTTACACTCACTTCCCTACTTCCCACCACATCATGGCGGCCAGCGTGTATTGTGGTGGTAAAGTTCTGAGAACTTTTGCCAGAAGCTGTAAGGCTAAAAACGTGAACAATGGTAAGATTTCTCCCACTTAGCACATGTTTCTTTTAAATGCAATTTATGTTAATATGTTCTCTTCAGGAACATTACTTCTTGGATCAATAGTAATGTACATTTCACGTTACGTTGCATTTTTGCAAGGATCAAAGTCCAAGAGAAGCTTTCTGAAATTCACGCAACTTTTCTTCTTTAGTGGCCGCGATCTTGTTGACTTTAATATTTGTTATTTGTCATGCAGTGTTCCTCAGATGTGCAAGTACCTCTCAAACGCGAAACACTCCTAAAGGTATAGAGATCTAGACTTTCTTAAACATCTGGCCCCGGTTGTTCAAACGTTGGATAGCGCTATCCACCGGATAAATCACTATCCAGCGGATAAGTATTACGGAAATCAATTACGCTATCCGCTGGATAGTGATTTATTGGATAGCGCTATCCACTGGATAAATCACTATCCAGTGGATAAGTACTAGGGAAACCAATTGCGTTATCCACTGGATAGACTTTTATCCGGTGGATAGCGCTATCCAGCGTTTGAACAACCGGGGCCAGTATTATAGAATTTTTAGCTGTTGTAAGCGTGTTGAATAATCACATTTTTAAACTTCCACGGTTATCTTGTCTGAAAGTGCATAAACCTGAATTTATTTGCATTTATAAATGCATGTACCAGAATAAGTCTAAAGCATAGACGAAGTTTCAGTGTATTTCAAACGAGAAAAAATAACGTTCCTGTCTACATTTTCTTCACTGACAAAGATCAAGGTTAAAACCAGCATTGTAAATCTTTGTTACGTGTACCAGATGGGAATTTTTTTTTTGATGGATAAAGCATAGTAGGGATTTCAACAATTACTAGCTGTGTTATTATTAATAGTTAATCCCCCAACCCCACCCCCACCCCCACCCCACCCCCATCCCCACCCTTTGAAACCTCCAGCTGACATAACTTTGATTCCTATGCCTTGCTGGCAGCATTGAAACAATCACATTAAACTCAAACAATGATAATAATTTGGAAATGCTGATGAAATCCTACTTAAGTCATGTTGATGTATGGCTCATTCTTAAGTCCTCTTCCTTTATGTATTTATAGGTGCCAAAGCTTCAGGTAGAACAGGAAGAAACATTGTTTTGGTGGAAGGAGTACGGACTCCATTTCTTATGTCAGGAACCAGGTAAGGAAAGTCAGTTGTCATTGAAAAAAGGAGCAAAAATACAAAAGTTGTACATAAAATGTGCATAAAATTTGATTTAGATGTAAGATAAAGTTCCTCATCTTTTTTAGCCTTGTGGAAGATGAAACCCTGACAATTTTATCATAATTAAGGGATTGGGGGGAAAAAGGAACTGTGTCGCAAAATTGATCAGTGGGAACCAGCACCAAATTGAGTGAAACACTAAAATAACACCTCAAAGCTCTTGAAAAAAGGTATAAATGACACAGAAAATACAAAAGGAAGCACAGATGGACAATCTTAAAGGACGTTTATTGAGGTATTTGAAAACTTGTCAGTCTAACAGTTTATCAAACTTCATTTTTTGTGTCTCTAACTTTTGAGTGCTTCCTACAGCTGTAAGTTCTTTACAACAGAACAGAGCACAGTCAAGGCTTCTTTATTTGATTTATAATAAGGAGTCTATTATTTTAATTCCCTATGCATTATTTTCTTAATTTCAAAACAAACTATTGGTAGATGGCATGTTAGCTTTAGCTCTGTGTTTCATATTCTCATCAAGAACGCTTTTCAACCAATCAGAGCGGGCATTTAATATGTGATCTTTATTATAATATTGATTGGACTAGTTAGATTCAACTTATGAATCTTTTATTAAAATCAATGTAGCTTATTATTAATTTGTTTATTCTATCGATTGTCAGCTATGCTAACCTGTTACCACATGATGTGCAAAGAGGAGCATTAGAGTGAGTGTTGACAATCAAGAGAAAGTTTTCTGTGTGGTTTTCATTGATATTATTATTATTATTATTGTCATTTATAATCCTTGGCTTGCTTGTTTAATCCCTGAACAATGTTCTCCTTATCAGGCGGTAACCAGTAAAATTTACCACCTGAAGCAACATGTCTTACTACTTGCAACCTCTTGAAGGTTTGCTAAAGTTGAATGAGTAGTTTTAAAAAATATGCAAGCTGTGATCCAATCTGATCAAGGATTCAAATGAATGAATACATAGCAAAGTACACAGCTTTTCTTTTTATGAGGGCCACACAGTTTAGAAAGAGAACGCTGAAGACAGAGTAAAATTATTGGGATCAAACATTTTTAATTGTTGTCTAAAGATAACAATGGCCGATTTGTGTCAAATAGGTCTTAAAATGAGGGAACGACAATTCAAAGAACTTAGCTCCTCCCAGGGAGGGGCCATGTCCCTCACTCCACTACCGCTCTCCCCTCAGGGAAGTGCACTTCTGGGGCATATTTTTTGCCTTACTGACCATGAATGGTTGCTTACCTGCTGAGCTAAAATTTGGGGAGAACACTGCTGAAGCACCAGGTCCAAATCATGGGCCTTGGGTACGAAAGAGTTCCATTTATCATTATCATTATCATTATTTATAAATTATTTATATAGCTATAATGATAATTTTTTTATTACTTTCTGAGGGCTCAATTTGTCTCTGTCATTTTTCTCCCTCTCCTGGCTTGACTTAAAAATATTCTGGGTACAAAGTATTTTACTAGCATGTTTGCTGAGTAGCTGCAAAAGCTTGATTTACTTTGTGTATGTATTTTTAGGGGCCTTGTCTCAAGGACAGGAATAAGTAAAGGTAAGTCAAGGTGTTTTGATTACTCACTCTTTTGAAAGGTTACTTTAAAAGTCAATTTTGGGGGGCTCTGAAATGTCAAGTGGACTAGGTTTTGATTTTGTTAATGATGTAAATGTGTTTTGTAGATGCTGTAGATCATATTGTTATTGGTACGGTCATTCAAGAAGTCAAAACTAGCAACATCGCCAGAGAGGTAAAAAAAATCGCATCCATAACATACGTTAAAGTAATGAATAGTAATTGGATAGGAACGAGTCCAGCAGCATTGTCTAGTACAAAGTGGTTAAACAAATTTAACATCTACACAGTGAGAGTCTGACGTGTTAAATTATGAGTCTGATTTCATACAGGTTTAAACAACACATAGATTATTATTTTGATCACTTCAAAACCAAACCTTTTAAAACCTAAGTTTCTTTTTTGTATACTGTTTAGTTACCTCAGTCTATAGGGGTGACACAAACTTCCCTATTGTATTGACCTATCAATGCTGAAATTAGGTTTACTGATAGCCATTCACCTTGGACAATTTTGTTATAGTTATGATAAAATGTGCAAACAAATATTTCACAATAAAAACGTAATTTCAGAGATGTTTCATTTGAATGGTCACACTACTGGACGTCATGGTCCGTATAGCCTGCAGATTTAGAACCACACTGTACAATACACATCTCTTTGCCTAACTCATTGAATTTTAAGATAAAACTTGTACATTGTTTTCCTTAGGCTGCTCTTAGTGCTGGCTTCTCAGACAAGATTCCCTGCCATACTGTTACTATGGCTTGCATTTCATCCAATCAAGCAATCACCTCAGGTATGTAGCAGGCAAAAAGGTTCATTACACCCCTTGACTTAACTAAAAAAATAAAAGATAAAAGAAATGTAGTCAGTTCAACTTTACTTGATCTTACTAAATGGTTTGAACCAAGGATTCACATATAGTGGAATGTGGTTGTGCAGGAGAGTGGCATCCTGAATTGGTCAGTTGTTAACACTAGCTGACATTTCACAACCACTGTGGCAGTCATCTTTTGAGACAAAGTGTGTTGTATCTTACAAGCTGATAGTAGTAAACACTGGTTACCATCAACTAATGTGATAAAACTCACTTTGACTCTGAAGAGACTACCACAAAGATTGTTGAAACATCAGTCACTGTCAGCAACAGTCCTACTCAAGACTACAATCACCTGGGGAATCATATTTTACTTACCATTCCTTATTCATTTATTCCTTAGCTTAATTTGGTTTTACCGTGTATATTCCAAAGCCAATGGAAAAAATTTTCAAACTTAAAATCCTTCTTCCTGTATGTTTTAAAAGGCATTAATGAGAAAAGAATTGTCATCATCTCATATTTAATTTACCAACCATTTGTTTTTGCCTTATTTATTTTATTTGTTTTTATTTATTTAACAGCTGTTGGGCTCATTGCTAGTGGTCAGTGTGATACAGTTGTTGCTGGAGGAGTGGAGTTTATGTCTGATGTTCCAATCAGACTCAGTCGACCTCTGAGAAAAACTTTACTTTCCCTAAACAAGGTACACTACACAGTTACAAAGTATTAAAAAAGAAGAATCAAAATCAAGATTTAGAAGAATGAAAGTCCTTTCCTGATTTCATTGATATTATTCATGAGTTGGAGTCAAAAAAAAATTAGCTCTGGAAGAGTTTTGACTAGTTGTTGATCATTTTAGAGTTTTTAAAACTAGAAGGGAGTGATTTATGTACTACTCAAATACCTTGAAGACACCTTTCAAAAACTTATAATTATGTGCTTTGTTCATTGTGTGTGTGTGTGTGATGAATCACCCCTCTTTTTGTTTGATACATTACTCCTAACCTATGTAAAGTTTAAGTCTTAAGTCTTCGCCATGCATATTACTATCAACTTAGTTGTAATTTTGAAATCCTGACAAGAAATAGTTCCTGGTATAATTTGACATATTTCATCTATATGCAAAACGAATAATTTTTTTGCACTACGCTAAAGTATCACTAAAAAGGTTTTCTTTTAAATGGACAAAATTTAACCCAACTTTGTCAACTTCCCTTATAACTCACTGAAAATTGAAGGAAAATTTAACTTTACCGGTACTTAAAATTATTTATAATCTTTTTAGGCCAAAACACTTGGTGCAAGACTTGGACTTCTAGCAAAGATCAGGCCAAGCTTCCTGAATCCTGAGGTATGACATCATTGCACAGTTTAATCTTGTTACTTGTAAGCACCTTTGCTAGAGTTAGTTTCACACAATACATATTTTTAGCAGAAAGTATTGAAAGATGACTTTTAGTTAAAAGCTCATCTACGTCTCATCTACCCAAATACCAATAAAAAATATTTCTTTCAAAATTTTCCATGATTGGCATACACTCATAATAGTAATGGGGTTGTTTGCAATTATAATATTGTAGGTTATGCACAAAAACTTGTGAAGAACAGCCACAGTACATACTGTTACTTTGTTCACACAATTTATAAAACGACACTAAAGAGTACCTCAAGAACATCCTTTTGACTTTCATAAATTTCATAAAGTTACAATATAGGATTTCATCTACAGCGTTAAGGGTTATCCAGTCAGGGTCAGTCAATTTGACTTATGTTTTTTAAGATTATGGCACTAACTTGTAGAGAATATGTTTAGAAATCAAGACATTTAATCACTGGTTTTACTTGGCCACCGAGATAATATGAAATGGAGGCTTACAGCTCCTCAAATGAACTAAACAAAATTTATGCCTTAGATAATTTGGTCCTTATGCAAACTCTACCCTACTCACAGAAAACCACTCTTGAAGTTCCATAAGGATAATGCAGTTTATTCTCATGGCCTGCATGTTTTTCAGTTAGTAAAAGTGTAAGGTTAATTAAGGTGTGGTCTCCTCAACTGTAACAAGGCTTCATTAAATTTCATTCTGTTATTATTTTACAGTTACCTGCTGTTGCAGAGTTTTCTACTGGTGAAACCATGGGACATAGTGGAGATAGGTGAAGAGCATGATTACATTTTAGTGAAATATGAATAATTTTTGTAAATTTGAACCTAAATAACCTGTATTTGTTTCTAGATTGGCTGCAGCATTTGGTGTCTCTAGACAGGAGCAGGTAATGGTCAATCCACATCATTGTCTTCTTCTTTAATGTTTTATATGAAATTTTGTGTCTTATAAATTCAGGGCATATAACAAGGTGAAGAAAAAAATTAATCATTTAGTCATTGAGTGGAAAAAAGCCTTGACTGTGCAGAAAAATGCTCCAGATGGACCAAGATAAGTTGCAATTTTTAGTAATGAAAATGCTGAAAGAGACAAAGGCCACTATCCATTCATTTTTACCAAACAACCTTGGCCAATGAAAGATTTTTTGTATGGTCAAGAGAACTTTTTTCTAGCGGGACTGAAGCAGCAAATACCAAGTGGGGAAGACATAAGGGCCATTTGGCCCACTTGGGTAGCCAATCAGAACACAGGATTCACAACATCTTGCCCACTCACAGGAGCAGCCGTATAAAAAGAAGTGTTCATTGTGTATCATAGTAGCAATAAACTGTGACCAGGTCGTCAAGTAGATTCTCTTGCTGGGCAAGTAACTTTTAAAGCTTACTTGTCCAATGGGCAAGAGTCCTGGCAAGTCATCCTCTAACTAAATCATTAAGTAAGATGAGTAAGAAGTCAGGCCCTGGGCAAACAAAATGTAAGAGCTGCTTGCGCACAGGACAAGCTTAAATTCAAGTTTTTTAAAAGCCCTGATGACCCTAGTCTGTCAGACAGTACACCAGTGTAGTCCAATGAGGACTCAGTTTGTTCTTCTGAGCGGCAGTGTGTGACATATGGATGACAGGCATTTGATCCTGCTCATTTCTTCACCAAGCAATTTAAAGTAAAATATACCATTTTACATTATTGATTTTGTCAACTTGTTTGAAAACTCTTTATTAACACTCTTATATTTTTCTGCCCAGAGCCATTCAATATTGTTGAGCTTTATTTCTTGCAAAGAAGGCTTACATGTTGTTATTTATGCCTACACAGGATGAATATGCTCTGCGATCTCACACATTGGCTCACACAGCAGCAAGTGTAAGAACATTAGTTGCATTAAAATAATTTGATACAAGTGCCACAAGTGGAATTTTAATATAATGATATCCTTACTTTGTGAGCAATTTTTGTATGGTAGTACTTATCACTCCAATTTTTCCGGTATGGCAATTTCTTCTCGACACGAAAGCTGGTTTTATCACGCCTTATCCCTGTATTTGGTGGAAAGTTTTTTAAGTCCAGACACAAGTCATCCAGTTGTGTGAAATAATCACCTTCGATACTGCTCATCATATGCTAATAATATTCAACATTTTTGTACCACAATGGAACAAACTTAAATTAATGTTTTTCCTAAAATCTAAGTTCAAAGTATGTGTATTTTTTCAGCTCATCTGTGGTTGCACATAGTATGCCAAAACATAGTAAACATTTACACTGTATCTGTATTTCTTATCTCAGGCTGGAAAGTTAGAGGATGTCCTTGCCTTTAAAGTACCTGGTGTGTAGCATATTATTCTCTTGAATTCTTAAACCTTAACACTTAGTTACACTTTATACCATAAAAGGTTGCTGCTATGACTTTATCCCTTGTTACAGGCATAAACAGCATCTACATCAGAGTCCCAATTTCTCAAACCCTTGTTTTTTCAAAAATCCTGATAATTCAGACCGAAATAATAATATTCAATGATGTACCCCAAGATTCTCCTTTCACTTTTACTGTTGGATTAAACACAATGTGAATTATTTTGAGATACAACCCGGCACCTCTATAAGACAGGCACCCCCCACCCCCCAAGGCGAAAAAGACTCTCAATAAGGCAGACAGGTCTCCAAGAAGAACATTTTGTGCTAGTTCCAATGGTATTTGTCTTAACCCTTTCGATCCAAGAAGTCAAAATTCAACTAAAATACAAATTTCATTTGTAAAATGTGGAAGAGCCAATGAAACCTTTGTGAAAGTACTGCTGAAGAGGTTTTACTTGAATGGTCATACTGTAGGATTTCAGCCACATAGTCTCAAAAGTAAGAACCACCTTACTGGCAAGACGACATTGTTCTTTCTGGGAATGAAAATGGTTGAAGAGAGGACTGTACATTATTTCTGTTTTTGCATTGCGTTAGGAAAAGCAGAAACTGTGACAGCTGATAATGGGATCCGTGTCTCAACTCTGCAGCAGATGGCCAAACTGAAACCAGCCTTTGTCAAACCACATGGTACTGTTACTGCTGCTAATGCTTCGTTCTTGGTAGGTTTGGTTCCTTCGGGGAGTAGGGTGGGGAATTTTGTCTTGTATACTACCATAGACAGGGAATGGATTTGCTAAGCAGTGTTCATAAGTACTGTATATTGTGAGCATAGATTTTTAATACTCCTACTGTTGTTTTCCCGCTCCAGATAGAGTGAAGAACATGTAGCAAGTACAACCTTACAAATGGCCTACTCAGTTATCATGAACTAGGCAAAACAAACAAACCGAAGACTGACAGAAAAAATCCTTTTAACTGTGATGAAAGTCAAACTTCCCAAAAAAACTGTTGGTCAACTGTTAGTCGCAAGTTAACCGACAGATTACTAAAATCTCTACCTTAAAACCAGTAGTAACCCTTCACAGCTGATAGACAGCCAACGACAATCGGATAAATCGACCAACCAGGTCTATAACTAGAGTTTTCGACTTGCTAGACAACATAGCGAAAATAATTTCTGCATGTTTGATTATAGACGGATGGAGGTTCAGCCTGTTTGATCATGAGTGAAGACAAAGCTGTTGAAATGGGATTTAAACCAAAAGCATACTTGAGGTAGAGTAGACCACACTCTTATTAAAGGAGCTGTCTCACGGCTGTCTGGTACGAAACTTGAGAAATTACTTGTGAACGACAAAATCAGAGCTTCGTTTCAAACAAATGTGCCTCCCAGGCATTATGTCAAACTTCACAAACAACAAAAATGAACTTTGCAAAACATTTAGGTTGACAAGTTTACGAAATCCACGTTGCAGTCCGCTTCAATCGGTTTTCAAGTTTTTCCATCCGTACCGCCAATTGTATTTGCTGTGTTATTTTTACCTTTTTTAATGTTTTGAGCGGTTATATTCACGTTTCATTCAGTTTGTTGGCAGTTCCTACTGTAGTCTGCTACGCAGCCGTTTTCAATTTCGTCACGCAACGCTCTGAAGATAGATTTTCGTGACAAAGCTCCCTTAACAGGTTTATACCCAGTCCAGGTTACCCCCTCCCCTGCTGAGTTCGCTAGTAAGTTTGACCAATGAATGTATACCAAGTTCTAAGTTAAACAGCATTATACGGTTAAAAGGCCACCTGGGTATAAGAAGCCCAACTTATTAGTGCATCAACATGCAGACAAAAATACGCCCTTCACAAGCCCACCCAGCGATAAACACTCTGCTAGTAAGGAGTTTGGCTTACTTCTTTCGTTTTTCTTGCAGGGAATTTGTTTACACTTCACAGGATCCAAAAGACCAACTTCTACTCGGGTATTTCCTGTAATTTCTTCTCCCTTTTTTGTCCAAGGTTTTTTTTTTATTCTGCATGTATCACATAGTTTTACCAGAACTTTTAAGTCATAAAACTTAACTTTTTGTTTAATTTTAACTTGTTCTAATATACAGTCCCGCCTATGCTACCCCAAAACTCTTGGACAAAGCCGGACTCAAAATGGAGGACATCGATGTATTTGAATACCACGAGGCCTTTGCGGTGAGTGTATTAAAAACTTTTTTCGAGAATTGTTAATTATCCTAGCAGCGATTAACGTTCATTTCCCTTCTTTGTCAAGGGTCAAATTCTAGCTAATTTGAAGGCTCTGGACTCCGACTTTTTTGCACAAAATTACATGGGAAGATCGTCAAAGGTAAGAAATTTTCCAACATTTTCTTAATTTTTAGTCGCTAAGTGTTGAAGAAATTTAAAACCTTTTGTACCGTACAATCAACTTTAAAAAATAAAAGCAAGCTTGGCCACTTGAAGGTTGTCGCCATTCACTCTTTTTATGTTTTTTGATAGCAAAGATTTTTAGGATTGAAGAATTAGTGTGCTACTCTTTATATATTGTTTCTCTTTGTACTTTTTTTCTTTTTTTTTTTACAGGACTCTGTTTAAATTAGCTCACGCTAAACCAGATGTTCCTGTGTAATTAAATAAACCAGAACCGGTACTTAGTTAACCAAGGATACGAGAGGTGGGGGGGATGGGAGCAAGTATCCGAAAAATATCTGTGGAGAGTACAAGTCAAGAGACAAATATCGTATTTCTAACTTGGCTCACTCCATGTTAACAAAAAGGTCGCGTCTCACCTTTGATCGACTAGCCTCCCTGAGTGTAGCTATGCTCCAAATCAATAATTTTGTTAGTTTTAGACTAAACCATGATTTATGGTGTCCGTCTTATTCTCTTGCTCCTCTCCACTTCTCTGAGCAGTTTTGACGTGATTATTTTGTTTTAGTTCGGTGCCCCTCCAATGGAAAAGCTGAACACGTGGGGAGGTTCGTTGTCCATCGGTCATCCATTTGGCGCCACAGGTGTCCGACTCGTCACCACAGCTGCTAATAGGCTATTGAAAGAGGGAGGAAAATACGGACTGGTCGCCGCTTGTGCTGCTGGGGGACTGGTAAGTAGTCGAGAGTGATTAACTTGCGGACAGTTTCCATAGAGCTGAAAACTGAGGAGCCACCATAAACATTTCTTCCAATGAAAGTAGCTTAGATCACCTCTGATTACTGCCAGGGGCAAAAAAATGGTGTAGCATTCGCAAAAGTTTTTTTTTTTACATTGAAAAGGCAAATATGCCAAATGTGTTTTCATCCTTGGAAGTGCCTGTTTTCCCTTGTTACGAGGCAAATTGTTCATCGTTAAGAGTAATAATTTCAAAGATGCATTAGGCCATTTGCACGATAACGTCTTTTTACTACTTACATCAGAATTCATTTCGTTTTTTCTTTCATATTTAAATTTACTAATCCTAGTGAGTTTCAAAAAACAAAACCCCTAAAGAAAGCAAACCGTGAAGGATTCTGGTAGTTGGAGAGGGAATCCTAGGGTGTTGGCCGGGATATGTGAATTTCACTTAAGTTATTTTTAGAGGCTTTAATTAAACGGAAGTCTAATTCCCGGGACGTCCGCAAATTGTAATCGATTGTTTGGAACGTCATCAAGTCCACGCGCAACTGCCTTAATGCAAAAAATTCAGAGTATTGTAATGGCGACTGTTGAATTCTCTCTTGACAACACTGAATAAAAGACCTCTCCGGAAACCAACTTCCCAGTAGTTTAATCGTCTGATTGGTCTAAAAATAACTTCGGTGAATTTCATATATCCTAAGGGCCAGACTGGGCGTTTCTCTCTGTCTCATTATTCTCTCTTGTCTATATACTACAGGCCCCGGTTGTTCAAAAGTTAGATAGCGTTATCCACCGGGTAAATCACTATCCAACGGATAAGTGTTAAGGAAACCAATTGCGTTATCCAGTGGATAGCGTTATCCACTTTTTGAACAACTTGCCAGGCTGTCAGTTAGCCATATGGAGGGAAAGGAAAAGCGAGCGAAAAATATCTATGGACATCTGCTTGTAGGGCTATTATATTTGCCATTCCCCATAACGAGAATTAATAATCTCTCCATCTTAATCGCAAGATTGATCCAACTAAGGGGAATTTATGATACTAATCATTTCTGGTTTTTGTATTATTTTTCCAGGGTCATGGCATCATAGTGGAGCGATATCCATCATAAAATGGTTTTCTTTGAAGAGGCGAAAATATTCTTATTTTAACACCTGGTTCTGCTCCAGTTACTTAAATGCCATGCAAAATCCTTGTTAAAACTTGACACATGAACAATAGTTTCTCTGGCTGCATCCTACGAAAGAATCCTGCATTATAATACTGGATATGTTAATAACTGGCCTACTTATCATTTGTGGAGTTGATTGTCCAATGTTTGCACTTGTATTGCGTATAAGTAGTTAATAAACCCGGGTTTAGTAAATGTTGTTTGTTCATGAAGTGCTCTTTTACGCTGTTATTGTGATCTAAGTAACTTAGACCAAGAGAACATAAAAAAACTGTTGTTTCTCCGACCTTTAAGTTCTTTTGAAAGTGAATGAGAAAAATAAAGTATTAACAATTCTATATTACTTCAATAGGGTTTTCCATATGTACTGGTAAAACCATCTGAAATCCTTTCTTCACTAGAAATGCCATAAACTAGCTGGCTTGCAAATAGCGAAGAGCTAATCGCGACAACGATAGCAAGCGGAAGAAAACAATAGATGAGAAAGACAATAACTTTTGATCAACCGAAAACAGGATTAGTACTGTCGGTAGAGCGCTTGACTGTAGAGTGGGAAGTCGCGAGTTCGATTTCCGGGGCCGGACCAATACTCGGGGTCTCAAAAATAACTGAGAAATGAAGGTACTGCCTTTGCCCTGCAAATGGCTAGACCTTCGCGTGGCTCGAATGACGGATTATTCATTCATTCTTTATTTGCCATATATACAAAATTTTACAATGCAAGGTTGGAATAATATGAGATTAAAGAAAAAGTAAATGGCGAGGAGACCTGAAAGAAACCACGAGGCTTATAATGAGTCAGGTCCGCTCAACTTAGGATAAACTAGTCTTGATAATATAATAACAATATGGGCTTATGATGGCTAACATTGACCGCGGACTCACATACGCACACCCACACCCACACACAACACCCCCCCCCCCCCCCCCCCCCCCCCCCACCCAAACACCCCCCCCCCCCCCACCCACACACATGTTAAATTAATTAATCTAATAATCTACTTAGTGCCATACTGAAGCTAATATGTACTAAGAAGGAATTCTTTAAGCTTTCTTTTAAAAGAAGCGGAGGAGGACGAACCAGTTATAGTAGAATTCGGCGAATTATAAAACTTTGGACCTTGGAAATAAATTGAGAACTGTCTGGTGTTCGTTCTGCATAGTGGCAAGCGAAATGAGTGGGCGTTCCGTCTCCAGTAGGAGTCGGGAAAGAAGTGTTTTCAATTAGTACTTTCTTGCTAAATACGTTAACACTCAACTATATTTACCGAAAACAAAGAATCTATAAATCGGTATTCATTTCGACTCAGTCTCGTGCACACTAGCTGGTAGTTTTAATTCTTGCCATGTATAACTTTTCTGTAATATTTTCTAAGTCCTAAACCGTCTTGCCCACAGTTCAAGAGTGCGCCTTTCATGTTATGCTGTAAGAGAAAGTGATTGCTCTGATATGCAATTTTCTGTCCTAGTATTTTCTTTGCCATTGAATATTTAGCTTCGTTAATTTGGTCACCCATCCACACTGTCGGGCCACGCTTAGTTTACCTTCTCACGTATACCAGCTAGCCCCTGAAAAATATATTAATGATTATGTTATTGATAAGAAGATGAAGAAGAATGATGATGATGTTAATGATAACACTGTGAAAGGTTTGATCCCAGGAGTCATTTCATAAGTAGGTTGAGTATTATCGTCCAGGTGAACGTAGTCCTGAATAAGACTGTTGTTGTTGACCGTGACTGACGTTTCGACAACCTGTGCGGTAGTCATCTTCAGAGTCAAAGTGAGTTGTATCATGTCAGTTGATGCTATTAAACTCTGGTTATTGACCTGATTGGTCAATTACGTCGCGATGTTATTGGTCGTCTGTCAGTTAAGCCGTGATGTTATTGGCTAAGAGGTTTAATGCCATCAACTGAAGTAATACAACTCATTTTGACTCTGAAGGTGACTACCGCACAGGTTGTCGAAACGTCAGTAGGAAACTTAAGCACCAGACGTTCTTGATTCACGAACGGCATGGCTGGCCGCGCAGAACTGGATCGGGTACGCAGTTTGCGTGCCAAATGCAAATCACTAAACAAAACAACGTGAAAACATCACTAACGCCGACAGAATAATTCAGTTGAAAATGCCTTTCAAAGATTTGCGTTAAGTTTTGTTTCTTTGTCACGAAGAAAACATGATTTCAGATGAAGAATTTCTACTTTTGAATAACGAATACTCTTCGAAGAACCCAGAATTTGAACCTCTGGTTTCAACCTGAGAACTCGCGTTTTGAAGTCCGTGACCGCAGCTCAAGAACGTCTTGACATGCGCAGTGGCTGTCACGCTGCAAAAATACTTCCGGTTGGCGTCCGTGGTACCAAGATCGTCTGGTGCTTAAGTTCCCTAATCACTGTCAAGAAAAACAGTCCTATTATATTCAGGACATCAAGGAAGCAACGTTGTCGGGTTAACTTTGTAGGTACAAGTATGTAATGGATCATTTATGTCAACAGTTGTGTTAAGCACTTGCGTAGATCCAATAACGCACGTTCGATATATTAAAATTCTAACATGACTCCGAGGCTTTCTGGTCATTTTTCTATGTTGGCTTGGTTTTCTTTGTGCTCAAGTCTCTTCTGGGAATTGCGAGACAATGGAATCGCGAAAAATCTGCAATTTTGACCCTAAAGCCTAGGAGTTATTTTAGAATTTTAATATATCGAACGTGGTCTGTTGGAGGTAATTTTCATATCTGAGTCGGGGTGGGGTGGGGGTATATTTTAGCAAGCTATTTACCGTGTCAATCAAAGCTATGGGTCTGGTGTAGGCATATGGAGGAGCGGTTACTCTGCAGTGAAATTTAACAGGACCCTTGAAAACAAGATCATATAATAAAAGAAGAAATTTTTGAAGGTGCTGCCATGGGATAGGAAAAATGAACTATATAAGGATGGTTACACTCTTTCTGAACAAACTCAGAGAAAGTAAGAGAAGTAAGCAAGGTTTTTTTACGTCCAAGAGCTTTTTCTCGCTGTTGCTGTTAACATTCAGGATACCCTGCGAGCAGAGGCTACATTTTCGCGATATAGGGTACATTCAGGATAGAGGTTTCAACAGTTTTGTAGATAACAAGATAAAACTATCAGTTAACAAACCCAAGTGGCAAAGTTTGTTAGCTAGGATCCGAGCTCTTTTTCTGTAATTTTTGATTTGAATACTTGATTGCAGGGCCGTTTAGTTTCGGACACTTTCAAGAAACGGCCCCATGACCCGGTTGTTCAAACGCTGGTAGCGCTCCAGTAGTAAGTATTTGTGAAGCCAATTGCGCCATTATCCAGTGGATAGCGATTCTCTGCCTTTTGTACGGGGGATGGACAGACAAGTATATTCGTAATACAGCAAATTAGAGTAACGTTTACTATCATGAACTAACAGTAACTAAAAGACGACAATGAAGTGTGTTACCTTTTCAATGTATCTGCATGATATTATACCTGATGATCTATTGAAATTTCTGTTAGCTTTCCACACTAAAAGGAAAGGATTACGGTGAAGCTTTTTGTTGAATGATTAATCAAAACATTAACGTTAAATTTATAAAGGCGACCGCAGAGTTCTGTTATTGGTTCATTGACAAATCAATGACACCAAGATTAATCAGTCGCTACAAGGTCTGTAACAAGCAATAACGACGACGGAAGTGAAAACGTCGCTAGAAAAAATTTACGTTCTTTCAAACCTTATCGCTTTTAATTTAAAAAAAAGGTATTGAGTGAATGGGTAACAAATTTCCTCGACAATATTTCCGTTAAAGCACTCCGGCTTGCGACGGTCATGCATTGTTGC